ATAAAATAAATCTTAAATCTTTCAAGTGATCTATTCAAATTATATATTACTAAAATGTAAAATAAGTTGCACATATAACTTAAATAAAAATTTATATTCTTCTTATAAATAATTTGTGATAATAAAAAAATATGTGAATGATAGACAATTATTATTACCTATGGATGAAACTAAAATAAAATCTTAAATCGTTCTTTAATCTATTCAAATTATATATCTTTAAAATCTATAATAAGTTTATATTCCTCTTATAAATAATTTGTGATGAGAAAGAAATATGTGAATGATAGCAAAATATAGTTATTTATGGCTGTAAAATATAAATTAATTAACTTTTATTATGTTAACAACTTTTAAGGGTATTTCAGACATTTTGATTTAAAAAGTTATTTATCATCACTTATTTGCCAAACACTTCAACAACTTTTTTTTTAATTTCAGCACTTTTATCCAAACGCATAACTGTTTATTTTAAAAATAAGTTTCAGCACTTTCAAAAGTATTTTTTTAAAGCTGCTTTTATTAAGCCCATCCAAACGGGCCCTTACTTTCCCTCACTGAGAGTATTGTTCATTTTGGTTCTCTTATTTTAAATTAATTAAGTTATCGTGGTATTTTTTATTTTTTAAATTAATTTAATTGTTTAATTTTTAAAATATTTTTAATTGTATTCTTCATTAGTTAGTATTGAAATGAGTTATTAATTAATATTTAATTATTATGTTTAATTTATGTCTTAAATTTTTTTTAAAAAAAATATAAAACACGTTAACAATTTAATTAATTTGAAACGGAGAAAGTAATTTAATTAAGTAGGAACAAATGAAACTATTAATATCACTAACTAGCTACGTTCGTTTTTCCAAGTGTACGTAATTTCTTGGTCCTACACGACTTGTCTCCTTTTGCGTGTATAAACAAATAAAGACTTTTAAAATCTGCATTCTAGTTAAAATTGAATAAGTTAAAAATGTAGTGATCAAATGTAAAGTTTAAAATCAAATCATTTGGGAATATTTTTTAAAAAAGAGGTCTCTTTTTGGAGAAATTAAAAAATTATACCATATATATCCCAATCTAATTTTTTAATTTTATTTTTTAAGGTGAAGTGGTGTAATATTCGCTTTATCAATTATCATATAGCTAGGTTATTATTATTATTACCATCGCTTGTTTCAGTTAATTGATGACTCACCTCCATGTCTTTAAGCAATGTTGTGTGTATGTTCTCTCATACAACATCCAATTTGTTGCTGTTGTTTTTTAAAATAAACAATGGATTGAAATCTGCATGTCCTTTCTCCAAAGATTTCATTTCCACTGTCATTTTGAAACTTATTAAGTATAGTACTAAGAAAATTAGAAATTTAGAGTTTGCAAATGACATTATTTGATGTTTGATGGGAAAACTCTTTTTCATGTTTAATTTTTTTTTCCTTACCCTATCTATACCCCGTATCCGACCCTCCCCATCAAAAATAAATAAATTTAACTTTAAATTTTTTCAAATATATTTTTATTTTTACCCCATACCAGCCCCCACAACCCCACCCCCGTGTGTCACCCCCACTCAAGCCATCCCGTCAATTTTTTTGTAAGGTCGGATCTCAGGATCGGATTTTGGAACGGTCGTCAGGGTCTTGTCCTGATTTGGGTATTGAGTCGGGTCCTAAATCAACTATACGGGTTGCTTTTCGGATCAAAAATTATTTTTCTAAAGAGTATTTTTTCAGTCTCAAGCCAAAAACATAAAGAAGATAGTTTCTACAAAATATTTTTCATTCACTAATCAAACATTTATCAGAATATATTTTTTATTTTCCAACCAAACATAAAAAGATAAGTTAGAAATGCACTTGTTTTCCATGAAAACATTTTCTTCTTATCAAACACACCCTCAATGCATTGAACTTATCCAATTTATCAAAAAAAATCTACAAATATTCTCTATAAGATTTGAATATCATCAATGTCCACTAAAGAAAAACAAATTAAAATTGTTTGAACTAATCAACGAGAGGAAGAACTCTTGGGTTGGTTATATGGGGGTATTTATCTAGACAATATTAATTCATGTTTAATTTATTAAGTAGGAGTATTTTGTTTGTCAAATTTAATCTATTGGTATATCATACTATAAATTATGATTAGGGATTTATTTTGGGCAATTAAATTTTAGCCACAAAATTTAACCTGTTGCGTGTGTTACTAATCCAAGTAAGAATTTTTGGAAAAATGAAAGAGAAGAGAAGCAAGAGGAGCCGAATACGTTTCTCTTAGCACGTTCCTGTCCGAAATTAAGGGTGTATTTGTTACGAAGAAAAATCTTTTTTTTTTTTGGAAAATAAGTAAATTTAATAATTTTTAAATTAAAAATATTTTTGTAAATAAAACTTAACTTTTTTTGAGGGTGGGGTGGGATCGAGTGGGGTAGGGGATCGAGGGTAGGGGAGAAAAATAAAATTTTTAAATTGAAAATATTTTTTAAAAGCAAACTGAATTTTTTGGGGTGGGGATAGGGGCTGATATGGAGGGTCGAGAATCGGGGTTGAAAAAATAAAAATTTAAAGTAGAAAATATTTTTTTAAAACAGACGGAGGGGGGTGGGGGGGTAAAAAAGTTATAAATTGAAATTAGAAACATCTTTTAAAAACAAAACTTTTTATATTTTTTGTTTGGGGGTGGTAGGAGTAAAGGTAGGTTAAAAAAATTGAAGCTAAGCATGTTTTAAAAACAAGCTTTAAAATTTATTTTGTTGGGGAGGAAGTTGTTTAGGAAGGGGGAGGGGCTGGAGGGTGTTAATTTAAAGTTGAAAGAGAGTTTTCAAATGTTTTTTCTTAAGTTTTGAAGGGAAGTTATTTTTTTCAAATTTGAGAAAAATAAGTTTGATTTGGAACATTTAATCCAGCCAAACATGAGGTTAGATAACATTTTCCAAAAAATATTTTTCTTTATACCAAACACACCATAAATTTGAAATAAATCAATAAAATCATGACATAAACAAAGTATTTCATTAATTATATTTTAATTGACTGTTGGTTTAGCATTTTTTATGCACATTAATTAGGAATAATAATAATAAATACAATGTTTAAATTATTAAGTTATTCTGATTTAATATTACTCCTAGTTTGTTTGTTTTTTAGAACTGAGCAATATTGTTTTTTTAAAAAAAATTAAGCCATAGTTGAAAATAATGGACTAGTTTAATTTTGAAATTTTTATAAAGTGATAATGATTTTGGGATATTTTCTTTAAGCTAAATGATGATTAAAATAAAATGGAAAACATACGTTATTGATATGTTTACTTTTATTTATTCGTAATTCTAAAAATTCATCCCCTCCTAAGCTACGCTTCATCGTCCACCTGGGGGATATATGTGTGAGTCAACACAGCAACATCAATATTGAAGATAAAACGTATAGAGTCCTTAAGTTCTTGTGAGTGGATATAAAACTATATTTTAAACTAAATATTTTAATAAAAACATAAAAAATTATAGAGAAAAATCAATCCATATAAAAACAGAACTTTTTAAACTAATTACGCAAGAAAATATAATTTATACGTGAAACTTAATAAACGTGTCCACTTCTAAATCTACAACACAATATGAAATTAAAGAAGGAAGATTTCTCCACAATCAAGAGAAATGTTTTCTTTAAAATTTATGAAAATATTTCTTGGAGATTAAGTACATGACAAGAAATTTCAAGTCTACACATCCTTTGTCCAAGAAAGAGGTGCTTAATTTAATTGTGGAATCGAAGTCGAAAACTTAAAGACGATAACAAAAATATGGAATAATCTCCAAAAAAACGCATTATTTTTCGTTTACTTTTTATCACTTAAAATGTATTGGACATCAAGTAAGAAAAATAAAAAATCGAATAGCAACACGGAATTAAATTGTAGTATAAATATACTATAAGTAGAAAAAAAATATTATTGCTATAAATGATGGTAAATATGTTTTTTGATATTACATATTTATTTAAGTTTTGAAGCCCAACTAATCTGAATTTGAATTGAAAAAGATTAAAATTAATGGTAGAAATTTTGGTTTTAATACTTATTACATTTGTTTCATTTGATGTATCTTATACTAAAGTTTTGGCTTTTATACTACCTTTTTTTTTTGGTTATGAATAAAATCTGAAATTAGAATCTTATTCTTATCCTTTCAAATAATTATTTTTTAAAATAAGGGGAGGACTAAAAGAAAGTAATTATAATCAATGAACCAATTTGATTAGCTCAGTAGTTACATAATCTTAGCTTATAACAAATTCAGTGTAAAAACTCAATAAATTAATGGAGTTTATCTTGAAACATCCAATTAGGCATTAGATCCTTCGGAGCCACAGAGAAATAGTCATTCTTTCAGCTTATGAAACTCCGTTCTCTTCACAAGAATTATAAAAAATCAAAATGAATACTAAACCAACTTCTTAGCTTAGTTATTATTTTACCGAGGGTTGCGATAGGATAATTAGGAATCTCTCCACCTTTAATTAGATGTTTTGAGTTTGAAATTCGATAATATAGAACCTCTTGGTAAGGTAGAATTTTAACCTCCTCATTCGGCTCATCTAATATAAATTTAAATTAATCGAGCCAATTTCTAATTTCAAATATTTAAAGTGCTATCAAAGCGTGTGATAGGATGATTAAGATTCTTCTACCTTCAATTAGATGTTTCGAATTTGAAACCTAAGAATATAAAACTTGTTCATAATTCAGCATTTATCATCTTTAGTAAATCTATCTGATGCAAATCTGAATTAATAGAGTCAGTAGGTTTATAATAAACGTAGTTGTCCTTGTTGGAGCAAGATTCTTTACTTGTTTTTTATGAATAATAAAAACAAAGTGCACTAGCAAGGATTGAGTGTATGCAAGTATGAATACTAAAATAGTTTCTTCTATATATACATGTTATATTGAAGTTGGCAATACATAAAAAGACCTTGTTTCATATTAAGAAAATAATCATGGCTATAGCTCCATCACAACTTGTTTCACCAGTTACTGAAAAAATCATTGTCAAGCCATCTTTACCCACCCCTTCTCCGCTTAAATACCACAAGCTTTCGTTTATCGATCAATCGTTGAGTCACTTGTACATTCCTCTAGTTTTTTTCTACTCTAAGCAACAACAAGAGTTTGATCAATTAGTAGCTAACAAACTACAAAATTCATTAGCAACAACTTTATCAGCTTACTATCCCTATGCTGGAAGAATGAGAGATAGTGCCACGATCGAATGCAATGACAGGGGAATCGAGTTTTTAAATGTTCGAATAAGTTGTCCCATGTCCGAAATGATGAACAACCCTCATGACTATGCAGAAGGAAACATATTTACGAAAGATTTACCTTGGAAGAATTCGTTCGATGGAAGCCTACTCGTGGCTCAATTAAGTCATTTCGATTGTGGAGGAATAGCAATCAGTACATGTCTGTCACATAAAGTTGGTGATGGTGGCTCTGTTGCAAGTTTTATCTATGATTGGGCTAAAATAACTCGAAATCCAAACCAAATCGCTCGTCCCAAATTTATTAGCGACACATTTTTTCCAACCCCAAATGGACCTTTAATTGCACCATTGATTGATTCCAAATTGGATAAATGTGTGCACAAAAAATTCCATTTCTCTGCCTCGAAGTTACAGGGCCTTAGGGCAAAAATAGCAGCTGAAGCAGGGATCAAAAATCCAACACGAGCAGAAGTTGTGAGTGCACTTCTGTTCATATCAGCTACAAAGGCTGCATCGAAAATCAACAACACTTCATTCAGGCCATCTAAATTGATTAATTATGTCGATATACGCCCAATGACAACACCCCCTTTATCGCGAAATGTTATAGGGAATCTCCTCACCGTGACTTCCACAACAGCAAGTCACGATGAGGAGATGGAATTGCCAAGATTGGTTCGCGAATTCAGGAAGGAATTTGAGCAAGTTTACAAGAAAGACCCTGTTCAGCACAATTCATTGGTGTTGAAGTTACTTGAAATAATGGAATCACCATACGCGATTGACGAATTTGACACTTATTATTGCAGCAACATGTGCAAGTTTTCGGGTTATAGCATAGATTTTGGATGGGGTAAACCTGAAAGAGTGTGTGCACCAATGGGTCCATTCAAGAATTTCTTCATATTGAGTGCTGATCAAAATATGGATGGTGTTGAAGCTATGGTGACTCTGGAAGAACAACATATGTTGGCATTTGAATGTGATGAAGAGCTCTTGGAATTTGCTTCTCCAATTTCAAGTTTCTAAAGGAAAAAGTTATTCAAATTTCCCCTCAGCGGAAGCTTTAGTCTGGATGCCTACATTTAAAACCGCTTGTAATTCTCCATTTACTCTTTTATGTTTTTTTCCCCCATTTCTCTAATTATTGCAATAATGGAATTCAAATATTATGTGTGTAATGATGCTTTGTTTTCACCAACCAGAAAGCCACTAGTACATAAGTGTAATTTGTTAGCTCTTTAATCATCCATATAACACTAATTTTGAAACAAAACAAAAATGATAAAATCTCATTACTAGGAAATTAGAATACATATTTGACCCCCCTCTCACTCTCTCTCTATATTCGTTATTGCTCACTTCATTATTGATTAATTGGACACGGCATTATTCCTTAATCGTTATTACAAATTTTGCTTGCGTCTACGTTAAGAAATGATATTGATTCTCTGCAATCTTCGAATTTTGAGTTTGCCTCACGATATTCTTGTAAGCTTTAGTTTTAAGGGAATATAATAAAGGAAAAATTATTTAATTACACAAAAAATCCGAGCATATTTACTAATTCTTCCTAGAGTTTGAAATAATTATACACGTCCTTTCATGAATTAATAATTTCATACGATATTTCAAGTCAGATATACTTGGATACATGTATTTTTGCCACAAAAAAATCTTTGAAATACAAATACACAAGGAAAAAAGGCGAATAAAAAAGGGAACGAGGCGAGCGAGAGAATTTGTTTATGCTAGATCATGAGTGTGCAAGCACACTAGATACTCAGGAAGAAAAATGAGTGAGAGTGGGAAAGAAGCGAGCGAGAGTTTGTGTAGCACAAATACATACACTTCACACTAGATACCTAGGGAGAGAGGCGAGCGAGTAAGCGAGATAGAGAGAGAGAGGTGATTGATAGAGTCAGATACATGCAAATTCATTTAGATATAATATAAATAAAATATATTATACTTAATTTGGACCTTATGTATTGGAGAAACAGGTATTTAAACATATACCAAATACAATATCTGGGACTATAATCGATATAAATGATCATTTTGAAGACGCACGGAAAGACACGTAATTAGGTAGTTTGTTTTGTTTGCCCAATAATAAAACAAGGGGACTTTTTGCAGATATCACTATAATAAACTTAATAGTGCCCATAATTATAGTTTGAATATTTATGGGTTGTTGCTACAGTTTATGTTGTATCGTTTGCATAATTTGGATGTTTATATAATTCGTGGGTATATGTGTATAATTCAGTTGTTTTTCTGTAAACTTGAAAAGACAAATTTCTACAATTACAAACATCAAAAGTCTAAACTGTTATACAAATTATATTATAAATTATAGAAAAATTATATTATACAAATTCTGAATTATACAAACGTGTGAATTACACAAACTAAAAAATTAAGCCATGTAATTATAGCAAAAAGTAGGTCACAAATTATAACTAAGGTAAATTATAGCTATGTTAACTAATTAACTTTGCTTATACGTGTAATTTTCCAATAAATGAAGGAAACTTTGTTTGGGCTTTGCAAATTTTGGAACAGAACCAATTGTTTGAGGCCGATAAATGTATATGTGGCCCATTAGGTACACCATTCTCTCTTCACCACCAATCAGTCAATATCCAAAAACCCTAAACCCTGCTCCCTATATAACATTCTCATTTGTTTTCTATTAAAACCCTAGAAAATCCAGCCTTAAACCCTACCTGAAACTTAACCCACCGAAAGCCGCCATGACTGACGTTGAGCTCTCTCGCTCAGAGAAGAAGAAAAAGAAATCAAAGTCTGGCAAAAATGATGACGAAACACAAACACTATCCACCCCAATTGATGGTGATTTTCTCATCAAACCTCAAAGCTACACACCCACCATTGACACTTCAGAATGGCCGATTCTATTGAAAAACTACGATCGTCTCAATGTCAGAACGGGTCACTACACTCCTCTCCCATCTGGGTTTTCTCCATTGAAGCGTCCGCTTGCTGAGTATATAAGGTATGGTATTCTTAATCTTGATAAACCTGCTAACCCATCTTCACATGAAGTTGTAGCTTGGATTAAGAGGATTCTTCGGGTCGAGAAAACGGGTCATAGTGGTACTTTGGATCCTAAAGTTACTGGGAATTTGATTGTTTGTATTGATAGAGCGACCCGTTTGGTTAAATCCCAACAGGGTGCGGGTAAAGAGTATGTGTGTGTTGCTAGGTTGCATTCTGATGTACCTGATGTTGCTAAGGTTGCTAGGGCACTTGAAGCTCTTACTGGGGCTGTTTTTCAAAGACCCCCTTTGATTTCTGCTGTGAAAAGGCAGCTTAGGATTAGGACTATTTATGAAAGTAAGTTGCTTGAGTATGATGCTGAAAGGCATTTGGTTGTTTTTTGGATATCCTGTGAGGCGGGTACTTATGTTAGGACATTGTGTGTTCATCTTGGGTTGCTTTTGGGTGTGGGTGGACATATGCAGGAGCTTAGGAGAGTGAGGTCTGGGATTTTGGGTGAGAAGAATAATATGGTGACAATGCATGATGTGATGGATGCACAATGGATGTACGATAACTATAGGGATGAGACTTACTTGAGGAGGGTCATTATGCCGTTGGAGGTAGTTTTGACTAGTTATAAGAGGTTGGTGGTTAAGGATTCGGCAGTTAATGCTATTTGCTATGGTGCAAAGTTGATGATTCCTGGGCTTTTAAGATTTGAGAATGATATTGAGGTTGGAGAGGAGGTTGTGCTGATGACTACTAAGGGGGAGGCCATCGCGTTGGGGATAGCAGAGATGACCACAGCTGTTATGGGAACTTGTGATCATGGTGTGGTTGCAAAGATTAAGAGAGTGGTGATGGATAGGGATACTTATCCTAGGAAATGGGGCTTAGGACCAAGGGCTTCAATGAAGAAGAAGTTGGTTGCTGAGGGTAAGTTGGATAAACATGGTAAGCCAAATGATAAAACTCCAGCTGAGTGGACGAGAAATGTTGTTTTATCTACCAAAGAGGATACTCTAGTTGCTGGTCTTGCTGCTGCTACTGTGAAATCTGATCCTGATGCAGTGGCTGCTGATGGTGCTGCAGTTGAGGTTGAGAAGAAAAAGAAGAAACACAAGGAAGATGATGAGGACGCTAACAAGAGAAAATTGGATGATTTAGATGTATCCCCTGCACCCAGTGCTTTAAAGAAACCAAAGGTAGAGGTAGTCGAGGAAGCATTGGATAAGTCTGAACTGAAAAAAGAAAAGAAGAAGAAAAAGAAGAAAGAAGCTGATGAAGCTGCATCCCCTGATGTGGAGTCTGTGAAAAAGGAAAAGAAAAAGAAGGACAAAGAGAATAACGATGTTGCATCCTCAGATGAGGAGAAGTCCGAGAAGAAGAAAAAGAAAAAGAAGAAAGATAAAGAATCAGAGAATGGTGATGTTGGAAGTGACGATGAAGGAAGTAAAAGCAAGAAGAAGGATAAGAAGAAAAAGAAGAATAAAGATGATGCTCAAGAGGAGTAGAGGTGAAGGTTTTTACCCCAATTGAGTGTGCTCCTATGTATGTTAAAATGCACGTCATGTAGTTCAAAATTTTGCCGTTTATTCACTTGTTTTTGGGCAGGAGTTTGTTGCAGCTGAAGTTCCTGGTCATAGACGTGCTTATTAGTTAATTAGTTTTACCTTTTTTATTTGTCAAGACTTGAGTATTTCAATCCATAAGGCTGTTTTCTATCTAAATTTTGAGATGTTTTCTGTTTTTGTACTTCATTGCCTGTAGATGTCTGTAGCTGAAATACAACTAATCAGCTGCATAACAACTGCCTTTGTTTGAAGCTGTATGGTGTGTATAGTTAGTTCTAGGGCAGGAAGTTTGCAAGGCAGTAGAAAGATTTTGGCCACTGTTTAGCACCTTCTATCTTAGAAGGGCTGCTCAAGTGTTGAACTATTTTTCTTCATTGAATCAATATACTTGGAATTTCAAAATGTGTTTGTTTTGCTTAAATACTCAAATAGTTTTGAACCCAGATTTGAATAGGTTTATATCATATATGCAACAGAATTAAGTAGCTCTTTGATAAGTCAAAAATGAGGTATATTGATATATGTTGTCATAAAATTTAGCAGCTCATATTCTGAAAACAGAGAGCGTAGTTAGACTCATCACTCTTTCACCTTTTACACTTTAGCTTTCTCAATCAACTACTCCACTACCTTACTAAAAGTGCTCGTGTTAAATAGATATTCTTATTCAAAGAAATGAATATTAGATTTAACTCAACGTAAAGCCAACTATTTGTCAATATAAGAAGACAGTGACAAGGGGATGTGATTGTTGACGATGAGTTTAGGTGCTAATTCAAACTTCACCTGATGAGTTTAGGTGCTAATTCAAACTTCACCTAAATAGTGCTGTGAGCTTTGCAGCGTTAGCCTTTTAACAAATTTAACTGGGGGGGCATGACAAATCAAGACTGGGGCTTTTATTAGCCACCTATGTAGTAGCGAAAAAGCACTTAGACTTTTAATAGCCATAGTGGATTCATCAATGTGATGACATAAACAAAGGGAGGCATATGCAGCGGCAACAAGGCAATTTACCTCACTTCTTGGAGTTTCAATTGAATCCACAACAAAGCTAGTGCCACTATGCTTTCGTGGAAACAACGAGATCATTTCAATATAAAACTGCAAAAGGAAGGTGCACGACATAAGATTGCTTCTAATTGTGCATGTGGTTTATGTAGCAAATTCTCAATCAACAAGTAGTTACACTATATACTATGTGGGCATAATGATGCTTGCCACAGAGAGAGAAAAAAAAAGACAGCATGTGGCATATTGAACCAAATGCTTCCTCATCACATTCATAGAACTCATAGCTCATTTTTAACCATTCTACCTTGTAATACTAATCTACCAGTCATAGGCAAGAAACTAATTTTTCAGAGGTAAGCCAGTCTTTGGTAGCGGTCAAATCCGGCAGCACAATGGCACCAGATTTCCTCCCATTGACAGCATCAGCAGTCTTGAATCTGTCCAACAACAAAGCATGCATCCCAACACCTCTCGCAGCTAAGTAGTCCTTCCTCAAGCTATCTCCAATGTGAAGTGCTTCTTCTGGTGCTACATTTCCTGCTTTCTTCAAAGCAATCTCAAATATCCTCGGATCTGGTTTCTCAACACCATCAAGACCAGAGAATACGCCGAAATCCCACTCAGATCCCTGATTTTGGTCACACACACAAAAGGGTTCGCAACTACTTCATTGTTTTTCAGTATTTATGGAAAAAAAGATTAAGATCAGCCAAAAATTGTTAGAAGAAGAATGAGAACCATTGTGTATCTACCTGATTTAAGCGTAATGCAGGAAGAATTATATCACGATATCGATACTCAGCATTGCTGACCAACCCAACCGTAACATCCCCCTTGCGGAGCCATCTGAGGAACGGTATAGCATCTGGAAATATTCTATAAGGTGCAGCAGAACCAAAAGTAGCATATATGCGACTATATATATTCTGAAATGTCTCATCATCATATTCATAACCTGCCTGTCAAAACAAAAGGATACTCAATATTAGTAGAAACATAAAATAATTACAGTTCAGATCTCAAATCGTAATTCTACAGTCATATGGAAAAGTTCTGAGATTATCTATGAAAATACTGACAACCAAATATCCCAAGATAATGCCATGCACAAACACCTTAACAAAGGAATCCCTGACACAAATCTTCCACCACACATAGTTAGGAATATTATCAGCAAATCCAAAACATGGATGCTTCTTTGCCAATTCTGCATATGCTACTTTAAAACCAGCTTGGACTGCCAAGCAATAAGAGTCGCCCAGATCTCCTTTGTAAGCAATAAGTGTACCGGTAATATCAAGTGTGATGCAGCGTAACCTCTTTACAATATACAACATTGTAAATGATGTGTGTTACTATTTCACAGTCCTGCGTTGCAATTTTCAACAATTATGTCATACATATCATTAATTCATAATATAAAACATAACCTTTTCGAAAGCAATCCTACTAGGACACAAGTTGACAAAGGAATCCACAGAAGGGGGTTTCATTATCCCAAATAAACATCATTCTCTTGAATAAATTTCATGCAAGTAGAACTTGGACAAACTTCTACATGCCATAGATCATTTTACATATAAAATTTAGACGACTACTGAACTGCTTTAACACTATTCACCAATTCTTTAATCCCAAACTACTTAGGATCAGATAAGTGAGACCCCCTTGGATGGGAATTTCACATCATATGATGGATAACACCATCAGTTCAGCACAAGATCTACAAGATCTTTCTTGTCAAAAAATAAACTCGTCAACCATTTGACTATTTGATAAATCACATGCAACACCAGTTCAATTCAAGGTTCAGAAATATCACAAGTAAATTTAGACTAAAAATAATAAGGAGATCATCTTAATATTGCCTCTTCCTTTTCTATAAGTGGGGTTCATCCAAAAATACTAAAAGAGCAGCTACGGCATTAGAACAGGACAATCTTCAGAACAAGAAAACAATCAGCAGGAAACGAAAATCAAAATTAACTCACGAAGAAAGCCTAATATTTCTTTTTCAATGTTCAAGATACACACATGCACAAAATAATAATGACATCATCTTCGTATTGCCTCTTCCTGTAAATGGGGTTCATTCATAATGGGTAACAACATGAAAAAAGTAAAAAGCTGCTACTGCATTAGAAGAAAAACTTCAAAACAAAATCTAACAATTACCCAGATTAACATTTTATTTTTCAAGTTCAAGAGCACATCTCTGAATCCAACAATGGCTTCATTTGCGTGAACCTAGAAGTTGTTGTTCATATATTACACAAAAAAAATAATCAAACTTTACGAAATAAATGAGTAAAATGATGGATTTGAAGCATACCCAGACATTGAAATGGATGATAACGAGAATCACTGCAATGAAATTGTTATCTTCTCCAAATAAAATCAGTTTCGAAGCAGTTTTTGTATATTTAATCTCAATGTATTTTCTCCATCTGTGTCCGTTTTATAGTTTTTTAACCAAAAAAAATTGCACGGAAGTCCTTTAGGTTTGTTCTTTTTACATTTTGGATCTTGTATCAGAGTTGTTGGTCAAAATCATGCTTAAACTATAATCCTAAATTTAAACTACATTCTTAAAATATCAATCTTAGCAAAAAAACATTCTTCAAGTATTCAAAAGTGAAAAAAATCAAGTCAATCTCTTCGTAATTATTATTTTTAGATATCCAAAAATACTATCGTGAACTTTTCCAATAATTGATTTAGCATTATGTAAAAAAAATTAGTCTGATAGTTTTTTTTCATGTATTTTATATTGAAAATATTGTTAGTTGAAATATGTTTCTTCTTGAATATACTAGAAGCGACGTTTGTTGGAACTTCTGCTTCTAATAACGTAAAATTAACTCAAATGCGAGAGATGATCATTATTTTGATCACTTCAATATCAGATTTATCAAAAAAAAAATTGATCTAAATACAATTTGACTTTGAAAAAAGTAAAAATAATTAAGTTTCACCTTTTTTCTATTAATAAATGAGAAAAAGAGCAAATTATGCATCATCACTCCTACCCAAAAAACAAATTCATTCACTAAGTAATGATGTCTAAGATTTCTAATATTTATTTCAGAACTTTTTTTAGCATACAATGAAATTATGCAGGAAAATTTTTGTTGATAGTCACGTGTATGACTAATGATCGTAGGATGTTTTTTGCCAAAAAATATATTTTAAAGATGTAGTTTAATTTTGAAGTACAATTTAAGGATGCTTTTGGCCAAAAAAATATTTATTCGTAGCAAATTAGTTAATTATAACTTATAGCTATATTAAAAGCTAGTGGAACATTAGTTTTTTTTTTAGGAAAAATTACTTGTATACGCAGTTTTTACTTTTATTATTTTCCATTTTTCCCTAGCTTTTTGAAATATTACGTAAATTTCTTATTTCTTCCAATTCTTAAAACTTTCAGATACATAAGACCCTTCAATCAAAACCATGTTTATCACTCCTCTTTTCTCTCTCTAAATTCACTTCACATTCTTAGTAGTTATGATTTTTTATTCTTTTAATCAAGTCCGCTATGGACAAGTGACTTTATAATTTATAAATACTCTTACCATGTATACGATCGGACTAAGAAATATGGGTTAACTAAACATGGATAACTCACTACTAAATTAAATAATTATATTTATATCATTTGACATATAGAGTCTCTTACTTAGAGTTGGTTTCATACTTCTTGTTCTGATTGTCTCAAATTCTCAGTTATTCTATAATGTAATAGTGCTTCCATTTAAGCAAGATGTCTGTCAACTTAGATGAATGATTTATTTGGTTTGTCACCTTATTTTAAAGTAAATTTTAATAATTATTTTTTTGGTGTCAAATCTTAACAATTTAACCGATAACTGATAAGTCAATATCTTAATGTTTAGCATGTCAACAAATCAATAACTGCCTTTGTTTGAAGCTATCTGGTGTGCAAGTTATATCTATAGTTCTAGGGCAGAAAGTTTGCAAGGTGGCAGAAAGATTTTAGTCTCTGTTTAGAAGGGCTCTTAAACTACTGTACAATGAATCGATATACTTTGAATTTCAAATGTGTTTGTTTGGCTTAAATACTCAATAGTTTTGGACCCAGATTTGAATATGTTGACAAGGGAAACAGATATATAGGTGATAATAAATATGTGCAATAGAATAAAGTTAGCTCTTTGATAGTCATATATGCAACTTTTGGTGTAATTGAAATCATGATGAGTATAGTTATTTCTTCTTGTCATTCTAATATTATGCAGATACAACAGCATCTGGCATATCGAACTAAATGTTTCTTCATCACATTCATAAAACTCATAACCATTCTTGTAATACAAATCTACCTACCATTATAGGCAAGAAAATAATCAAACGGGACTTTTACAGGTCAATGCATTTCGAATTTTCAGAGGTAAGCCATTCTTTGGTAGCGATCAGGTCAGGCAGCACAGTGACACCAGATTTCCTCCAATCGACAGCATCAGCAGTCTTGAACCTGTCCAACAACAAAGCATGCATCCCAACACTTCTAGCAGGTAAGTAGTCTTTCCTCAAGCTATCTCCAATGTGAAGTACTTCTTCTGGAGCTACATTTCCTGCTTTCTTCAAGGCAATCTCATATATCCTTGGATCTGGTTTTTCAACCCCTTCAAGACCGGAAAATACGCCGAAATCCCACTCAGATCCCTGATTTTGGTCACACACAAAAAGGTGTTCAACTACTTCATGGTTTTTCAGTGTGTTTGGAAAAAGATTAAATCAGCCAAAAGATGTAATAAGAAGATACAACACAAAAAAATGAAATGACAACCATTGTGTATCTACCTGATTCAAGCCTAATGCAGGAAGAATCACATCCTGATATCGATACTCAGCATTGCTGACCAACCCAACTGTAACGCCCCTCTCGCGGAGCCATCTGAGGAACGGTATAGCATCAGGAAATATGTTGTAAGGTGCAGAAGAACCAAAAGTTGCATATATGCGTCTAAATATCTTCTCAAATGTCTCATCATCATATTCATAACCTGCCTGTCAAAAGAAAGGATACTTGATATCAGTAGAAACATAAAATAATTGCAGTTCAGATCTCAAATCATAATTCAACAGTCATACTAAAACGTTTTGCCGCTGTTCTGTAATAAATTGAACAAATGACTTCTGAGATTATATATAAAAATACTAACAACCAAATATCCCAAGATAATGCCATGCACAATACCTGAACAAAGGAATTCCTGACACAAGTCTTCCACCAAACAATGTTAGGAATCTTTTCAGCAAATCCAAAACATGAATGCTTCTTTGCCATTTCTGTATATGCTAGTTTAAAACCTTCATGAACCCGCTTATAGTCAGGACATTGCTGCCCAGCAGCTTTGGCAGCCATGCAATAATAGTCACCCAACTCTCCTTTGTAAGCAATCAGTGTACCGGTAACATCAAGTGTGATGCAGCGTAACTTCGTTAAAATTGACATTGTAAATGACTGTACAGAAAACTCTACCCTGTGTGTTACAGTCCTGCATTGCAATTTTCACCAATCATGTCATACACATCCTTAATTCTGACACTTATAAACTATGGTATTCCCAAATAAATGTTTAATTCCATAATATAACATGTACATTTTCGGAAGCAATCTTATTAGGACACAAGTTGACAAAGGAATCCACAGAATGGGATTCATTATCCCAAATAAAAATCAATAGACACCAGTTCTCTCCAGAATGAATTTCATGCAAGTAGACCCTTCTGCTATTAAGATGTTCTTATGTTTAACTTGCTCAGAATTGTAATTGGAAGGGATGTAATTCTAATATTCTCTAACCATATACTAGTTCCAAATTGTGGCATCTAGCAAGAGTGAAGAGCTCTTATGAGAGAAAAATTCACCGTGAAATTGAGATCGCTCCTCTAATATCAAAGTATAAGACCATGTCCAGTACTAATTATGAAACAGAAACTCCTCAACACACAAAAGAAAAGAGCCGTGTAACTTGATCCGAGAACAAGATAACTGATATCAGTTGCTTATATTAAGTACTACACAAACTTCACAACTTCCAATGAAATGATACAATACCTTTGCGTAAATCAAAGGAGGTGGGTTCTAGTCCACACAAATTGATATGAAAAAACCTTGTAGGAACTGGGGCCTAAAGCTCCAGCAAAGTAACCCTAACAAATGTTTGAAGGAAGATTTCTTATAGGTGTTTAGAAATTAGAATGACACTGGAAGCCACATCCATCCATCCTGCCCTTTTTGTTTGGTGGCTAAGCTATCATCTTAATTCTGAATGTATGATGGACATTTCCTGTAACCTTATCATAACAATCACCTCTAAGAGAACCAAGGGGCCAATGGCAATATTTTAAGACATCAAAGAAGATGGCCGAGAAATCTACCATAAAATAGACATTTTCTCCATGCTAAACTTCATACTTCAAATAAATCTATGTTACGCAAACTTTCAATTGCCTTGACATACCTAGATTGAAAAATTGGTGTCAGTCCATTTAGATCCTTCAAGATACACTTAAAATTTGCTAATTGGAATGGCTAAATGGATACTTAGTGACACATGAACCAAATATATCCAACCTAAATCCAGGTAACATAGGACTGAAAATTCTCATATATACACACACAAGAATATCTTCTAAAAGGGAAGGAAAAACGAAACAATCTAGGATGTTTGTAACCTTGATTCAAGTTCATGAGTACACACAGACATGGTATGAGCAGAAGGAACCAATAGACCAGCTGTAGGTCGATCCATGATCCAAATTTTAACCTTATGCACAGAATTAGTGAACCTGAAAACTACTCTATAACCCTAGTTCTCGTCTAAAATTATGCATTCCTCAGGAAATATGAATAGATAATATTCTGACCTGAAAATCCAACAGTCAATCTAATAGAAGTTGCAAAATCACGGAAGGATTAAGTACCATAATGGATTAACCCATGTTCTGCCACTTCTTGGTTTTTCCTAAACACCAAGGGGCAAAATCTGATGCCTTACACAACTGATCATGTGGACAATTATTTCATAGATATTTGTTTAAAATAACAAACATATCAGCTACGAAAGTGATTTTAGAAGATATAAAACACCAAACATCTCTATTGATGAGCCACTAAACATCCACTCATCATCAAAACCTATTCAAAGACAGATATATCCAAAACGTTTGCACTTAGTCATAAACCTGCAAAGCTTCAGGCTTATAATCCTGAACCTCAGGAACCTGACCAAACATCTCCATATACCATAGATCAATTTACACATGAAATTTAGATAACTACTGAACTGCATTAACCCCATTCACCAATTCTTCAATCTCAACCACCAACGATCACATAAATGAAGTCCCTGGGAATGTCACCATCAGCTCAGCACAAGAGACAACTAAATCTTTCTTGTCAAAACAAACTCGTCAACTATTTGAATAATGACTTTAATAAATCACACGCAACAGACTAAATCCTAATCCACACAATTCAAAGTTCAGAATTATCACAAGTCAATTTAGACAAAAATGAATAAATAAATAATAAGATCATCTTAATATTGCATCTTCCTTTTCTGCAGGTGGAGTTTATCCAAAATGTGTTAATACAAAAAAAAAAAAAAAGTAAACGAACTGCTAGGGCATTAGAAAAAGACAATCTTTAGAACAAGAAAACCATCAGCAGCAAATGAAAATCAATCAATCAATCTACCTCACCAAATTAACTTGCGAAAAAGCTTAACATTTCATGGCCAGGTTCATGAACACATACATGCACAAAAATCACAAAGAAATTCAGGTTTCTGAATCCAAATATGACTTCATTTTTGTGAATCCAAAAGCTCATCTTTAACACAAAAAGATCAAATTTTTACACAAGAAATAGGATAGAAGATGGATTTGAAGCCTACCCAGAAGCTGAAATGGATGAAAAAGAGAATGGGCTTCAATAAAATTGCTATCTTTTCAAATAAAGCTAGATTCTTGAAGCAGTTTATGTGTATATTCAATTCATTTTGAAGCCTATTTTAGCTCAGATACAATTAAATGTATTTTCTGCTAAGTCTCACTTTTCCCCTTTTATAATTATCTTGAAACGCATATTTGCATCAAAGTCCTTTAAGTTAGTTTTTTTAACCTTTTGTACTTCTAAGTTCTGTCACAAAAGTTGACTCTATTTTGTGTGTAGTATTAAATTTTTTTCTATTTCTTACTCTGAGTTTATGTTTATATAGTAGCTCGATTAAATTTGGTTTTAAGTTAAAAAATCTCATATTAAAAATAAAGTGTTTTTTAATATTGACAATTACGATTTTATTATTTAATTAGAATATTAAATTGAACATCCTCCCAAGTCCCAATAATTTATTTTAAATGAATTATGTCTAAATTAACAAAAAAAATGCGATTTAACTAATAATAATCAATAATTTAAAAGAAAAAAACTTCCTAACAAAAAAGTTGATTATTGAAATCCTTTATGATAATTTAAAAAATTGAGATCAACATTTAATTAATAATGATGCTTTTCTTCTTTCATGGAATGTCATTAATAAAATATTACTTTTCAACTTTAGTTACACAAATAACTCATGTGTAATGGAAAAATATAATAAGCATTTCACATGATTTTATATTTGTGGAATAACTATCTCATAGAACGTGCATGTCAACTATTAGGTCTCACTTGATTGGTCTTTTAATTGAGTTAATCAATACATTAAAATTATTTATTTAAATTGAACTAAATTGTCCTTTTATTTTTTTTAAAAAAATGAAAACATAAAAAGTAAAATGAGAATATTATTCTCTCCATTTCAAAAATAATGACCTCCTTTTCTTTTTAGTATGTTTAAAAAGAATGATCTTTTTCTTTTTTTGGTAATAATTTTTCACGCGACATATTTAAGATCACAAGATTAAAGGGCAATTTTGTATATTTAACATAACTTTAATTTAAAACCACATGATTAAAAGTCTTTTTTATTTTTTTAAATCCGTACCAAGTCAAACTAGATTATTTTTTGTGAAACGAAGAGAGACAATTATTATATTACTAATTCCTCTCCCAGTATGTAAACCAATAGATATAAGTTAATTTTGCTTTAACTTTGTGGAAACTATTAAGTACTGAAGTGTACAATTTCTTAATAAGGGGGTGCTTCTAAAAAGTAAAATTCGAAAAGTGAAGGGTACGTCTGCAAATCTTCTCGATAAACGAAGCAAGAGAAAACCATGGACGGAGTTTTTTTTTCCAGTGGATTTTGTATTACCTAAGGCTTTAATAGCGGGATGTCCCATTAAATCTATATTTGCGTATGAAAATTTTCAATTTGAAGAAAAAGCTTTTTAATTGGAGATTTAAATTCGAGATTTTTGATTAATAATAATAAATATATTTACCCTTGATGTTTCTTGTGCACTTCAATTATTGTTTAATTTTTTTCTTATTATATTTTTAGATTAATTTTGATATATACTTCTAATAAAAAATCAATCTAATTCTTTTCACAAATAGAAATAAGGTCGCATACACAATATTCATTTCAAATTTCACTCATACGATTACACCAAATATATATTTGTTTATATGTATAAAAAAGAATAATTCATTTTTATAATATTTTTATTTTTCTTCATTACAAGTATTTATAATTGCACAAAATATTATATTTTTTCCATTTTTATGCTTGTCATTTATTTAATTTTCTAAAAAAATATTTTATTCATCTTAAATTATTTATCGTAATTATCTTTTACACGTCTCTTGTAAAATTAATCAGAAAGATCATTATACTATATCGCTCATTTTTATTACCTCCCTAATATTTAGTTAAATAGATCTTTTGACAATACTAAGCTCCTTTTTAATTTAGATCAGTATATTTGGATTTGGATTTTGACTGAATTTTAAAACATAAATTTATATTCTTTGCTTTAAAATTAAAAAATTACATTGTCATGAAAACTAAACTCATTAGTCATTGGCCTCTGATTTGATATCCTAACTAAAATGGTATGTTAAGCTAATGGTAAAATTCAACTCATATGTGATATTTGGAGGAAGTTATTTTCCTTCGTTTCCGAAGGAAAGTTTAGATTTGAAAAATATTTTTTAAATTTTTTTAATCAAATATGAGAAAATTCAAAAATATTTTTTGAAAAATATTTTACTTTCTATTAAACACACTTTAAATTAGTGTTTTTTCCATTAAAAGTAAAAAGAAAGACAAGTTAAATATGAAATATTTTTGGGAAAATTTCATATATGGCAAACTTATTTGATTAAATAACATTATATGTGTATAGTTTATCTAATTACATTATATGGGTATGGTTTAGTTATTTTAGGTATCTTTAATTTTGTATATAAAGGTTTTTTTTTATTTATACAATTCTATTTTAAAAAGTGGTTTGTAACTGAAGCGTTAAATATGCTAACAATAAATTAAGATAATGCCACAATTTTAGGGAAACGTCCCTTTTTTTAAGCTAAACGTTTAAATTCAAAAAAAAATTCATACAGCAAGTGAAACAAAAATATAATTTTATATATACTTACATATATATACAAAAAAAATTTAAAAAAAAGTCATGCACTGATTAATTTGTGTGTATATATATGAACTTACCTTTTTTGTATATTGATATGTGTACATGAATATATTAGTTAAACATGACATTATATACAAGTTTCTAAATGACTTTTTATATATACTCCAATAATATATAAAGTTAATATATACTAACTTCAATAATTTGTATATAACTACTACAATATACAAATTATAATCACATATGATATTTTCCCATCTATATAACTAAATCCAATTACTTTGTGTATATATGTATATAAAAAAATAATGAGCCTTTAATATACAATCCCCTACTACCAGCTATTAAAACAGACATGTACATATCAATTTTTTTATATGTATATAAACTTAATATTTACTAACTTCAATAATTTGTATATAACTAATAAAATATACAAATTCTAATCGTATATGAAAATTTTCCATCTGTATATTTAAGTCCAATTACTTTTTTGTATATATATACAAAAAACAAAAATAACATAAACATGCAATATACTATATACAATTACTAAATATGGAATATACTATATACAATACTTAAGCAATACTTTTTGTATATTGACAACTAATTAACCAAAAAATTGTATCTAACTTTGTGTTTTAATACACTACCTCATGATTTTGAAGTTCTTCAGATCCGACAACTTCAGAATTATTTTCCTCTGATTCAATGTTTACAGCTCTCCTCTTTCTTCTTCCTTGTACAATTTTAATGACTCTAGTTTTGACATTTTTAATAACTTGTTGAACTGCCATAGGGTTTTTTCTTTGATCTCAGCTCTTCCATGGTTTGTTCTTGTATAACTTGTTTTGATTTTCCCAAAAACCCTACATCAACCCCAAAATCTTGAGTTAACCCCATTGAAAAAGATGGTAAAATGTCAACAACATTGACATGCAAAGGACTACCTCTGGTAATCCTCAAAGATGGAGATGATTCATTCATTGTTTGACCAATTTTAGATCTATCAAGAACAAAAAATCGATTATTTCATCAAAATATATGAAAAAAATAATAAACAGAACACATATACAAATTTTGAATAAGTAAAAAAAAGAAGAAGAGGTAAACAACTAAAATTAAGGAGTATTTACGAAATTGACTTCAACTTCGGAAGGAAACTTCAACTTCGGGAGGGAGTAATCTAATTTTGGACAACAATTTGAAATTCAAACCGGATAGTTGAAGTATTAAATGTAGGAGAAAAAGTTGGAATGTGAAAAGGAGAGTGAAAATTGTTTTGTGTATAATTTTATACAAAATTAGAAAATAAGATTTTTATACTATTAGTTACATAATAGGTTGCGGACCCCATTAATTATAGCAAAAAAAATTAAACTATAATTATATAAGGTAAATAAATTAAACTATACCCCTATGATATAATTAGTTATGAATGTTTGTCATTTCATATAATTTTCCCAATATTTTTCTACAATTTATTAGCAGTCAAATTTAAGTTCACTTTAATTTCATATTCTAGTAGAATGACCCGTTAAAAGTTAATGATAATGTCCAATTTACATGTGATAAAAACAAGTGGCTCCTACATTAGAAGGGAAAAAAGAATTTAAAACAAGTGTCTATTATCATTTCGATAATCCTCCATTAGAAGTAAAAAAGAAAGAGAATTAAAACACAATTTTTTTTTAATTATAATTTATTGATCAACTTAAGTTCATTTTGAATTTTAGTATCCAAGAATGATTAAAATCAATAATAATGTCCATTTTACTATAAGTAGTTTACGTACGCGTCATAAAACAAGTGCTCCCTTAAAAACTAGAAAGAAAGAAAATTTAGATACGAAATATTTTTTATAATTATTCAAATAATCAATTCATCAAAAGTCAAAAGAAAGAGAACTCAAATATAAAACATCTTTCTATAATTTATTGAATCTAAAAATTTAACTTATTTTGATTTTCATGTTTTAAAATGGCATGATTGACGCTAATGATGATGTTAATATCCATTTTACTATAGATAGTTCACATCACATGCGATAAAACAAGTGTCCATCAGAGATTAAAAAGAAAGAAAATTTTAAAAGTAAAAAATAAAGAGAAGTTAAAGACAAAATATTTTTTCTATAATCTTAATTCATTTTGAAAGACCAATTATAGCGAATGATAATTCCCAAAATACTCCATTACAAGTCAAAATGAAAGAAAACTTAAATAAAAATATTTTTTCAATAATTATACGGATAATTTTTGTTTCATTATAAATTAAAAAAAGAAATAAAACTTAAATAAAAAATATTTTTTTTATAATCATTTGGTATGCAATATCTAGTGGCAGACTTTGAATTTTATGTTACATAGAATTAATTAATTATAAATTTGTGAATATATAAGTATATTATTTCCCACAAAACAAATTAAAAAGATAAAAACGAAAAAGAAAGAAGAAAAGAGAGAAACTTGGTGGGCTATAGCCCAAATATAAAAGGGGCAGTCCGGTTGAGCCCAACCCAATTATAAAGAGATGGGCTTGACCCGAATTGACTTGGATCTGTTGCTTCTTCTTCTTCAATGGCAGTCTCAATCATCCCAACCTTAAACCCTTGAAAACCCCAGGAACTTAATTGAAAAGATTTGCCAAATTGATAGCTAAATTTTGTTAATTAGGGTTCAAATTGCACATGTGTACTGATCAGTAAGTGGTAACCAATGCATTATCTTAATAATTTCAAGCGTGTCTTCCAGATGTTTGATAAAATTCCTGTGAGAATACTTCAAGATTTTGATCCAATTGAACATATGTTTGTATGTACCATATTACATGATTTTTGTTTTGTTTTCATATGTTAATGTAGAAATGGTGGGACAGGATAAAGCTGAGCTAGGGGGTTTGCTTGAAATTCTACCCCCGGTAGAGTTTTGCTGTATATATGGTTCTAAACTTCATCCCAACAACAAAGATGAGGTTTTTTCTACTTCCTTCTTTCGGATAATGAATTCCACTCATGGTTTTATTTGATCAAGAAGTTCTATAAAATACTGCAATAGTACATTGCTAACAAATTCATTGCTAGACATCTATGACAGATTACATTATTGGAGTATCTGATCCTCGACAATGGCATTCTGAGGTAATTGCTGAATTTTAAGCAACTCTCTGTCCATCTTTGTTTTCAAAATCTAACGTCTTTCTACAATCCAGAATCTAAAATTGAACAAGGATCACTATGCTTCGTGTCTCATTCGCCTTGGTGGAGCAAGGATGGTGCTATTTCCTTTCTTGAATTAACTTTGATTTCCCTCATTTCTTTACTACTTTATATATGTTTTTAGTCTTACATTTCAACTCTAACTAAAGAACAATTTACTGTGCATTGTGTCAGATAACTGATATTGCAAATGACATTGGTGTTGGCGTACACTTCAACCCATTTGTGTCTTGCAACAACAAGGTAAATGAAGATGCACTTTCTTTTAACACATCAGTAATTTAAGATTAACTTTTACAGATGTTCAAGTATGGAGTTGTACGGATGCATGACTTGATTCAAGACATATTGGGATGGGAGAGGTTTTATCTCAGCGGTCGTTTGCAGAAACCAGTATGGCTTGTTTTGAACTGCTATTTAAATAACATATTTTACAAAGGACTTCGGTTACAGTATTAGTTACATTGATGTAAGGACTTCCGAATGAATTTAAGTCAGTTAGTATATTTTGCAATCCTTTTGTGCCTCTTAGTCATTATTGTGGTACTTCTATGTCACATGAATTTAATTTCTGTTGTGATGAATTTAATAATATTGATGGTATCAGGAATAGTTCTTTATTGATGACTGACTTTCCTGAGTTGCTATAAATACCTATCAGTCAAAGAAGCATGAAATCATCATTTAAGAAGTAACTTGCTACATGATGTTAGCTTACTCTCATTTGTATAACAAAAGGGAGAAAACTTGGTAATGTTTTTATTCGCATTAAATGTGGTCAAATAAGCTTACATTGGTTAGGATAATATCCACGAGCTCTTGTATGTTCTCTTAGCCGTAGGATCTCACTTTGGTGGTACCTAGAGACATAAGAATAAAGAGTTATCATAATAACGCTGTATTATGATCCTATTATAATAACGTTGTATTATAATCCTATCATAATAACGTTGTATTATAATCCTATCTAATTTTCCTCTTCCCCAAAAGAAATCCTATCTAATATTTCCTCCCAAAAAAAATATAATCGATTCTGGCTTGAAACTATATGTATATCTCAGCCTGCATTTTCTTACAAAACAAATTAGCATGTGCTTTTGATATTTGATGGCACACCACTGCTAGCTTTTAAGCTCTCTCTTCTATTAACCTGAAAATGAACATGAAAAGTCAAGTGAGTGTGTATGGTAACTTGTTGTACTCTCAAAGATATTCCTAACAGAAGCAGTGCACTCAAACATTTCTTGCGAGTGTTAAAAAGAACTTCAGTTGGAAATATTCGAATGAGATGCTTTGTTTTCTTCTGTCTATGTCTGCGCAAAGGTTTTAAACTTTGATAAACTTGACATTTGACCACCAAAGCTCTATGTTGCATCAGATTTTACAGCTCATTGCAAAATGGAACCTGCATCCCTAACTCCCGTCTGATTTCTAGTTTCCTTCTTAGTCGTATTAGTTGGAGGCTTAATAGCTATTGCTTGATTTTTATTAGACATTTCTATGCTTTCTAATTGGGAAGTCATGGGCTCATGGCTGAAATTCTGCGCTTCCTGAATAGAGAGTTTAAGTCTACTGTGGACTGAAAATATAGAAATGCTCCTGATAAAATATATAAAAATACATAGAGAGGCCGTCTGTTTCTCTAAATTATATTACATGATGCATTCAACAGATATCGCTCAACTGATTTTTAGTTTCATACTCAGATATAATATTCTGAATTTCTTTATTGGCTCCTTTTTTGCTTGTTGTGGTGAGTCTGGTGACTGTCCGTCATCCATAACTTACATTTACTTCTAAATCAGGTGAACATTCTTACGGATAACTTGGATATAAAAAGCGTGAACAGCGTGAATCTGAAAGCTGCAACTTCTGCTGCTCTTCTCCTTTTGCCATCTAAATTCACGGAGGTTAGTCTCTTTAATCATTTCTGATTTCTTGTCAAATAGTACAGGGACATAACACATGCCACTTGGATTTGGTGTTTACGCATGCAGGAAGATTTATATGCCAAAATCTGTAGCCTCTCATATACAGGTGACTTGCGTATGCTTTTTGCAGAGGACAAAAATAAGGTAGATTTGACATTTGAGTGGGTTTAAATTTTAAAATTTTGTGGCCCTGACTGTACCACATGGAAGTATCAATCTACAAGTAAGTTTATAGTGTAATTGGGTAGTTTCTCAATTTTATAGTTTTATATTACTTCCAGCGGATCAATGAATATCAGTTAATTTGCATCTCATATCTACAAAATATCCTTTTTGGACTAGAATTTGAATCTCAACTTTTAGCATAGTATCTCATAGTGCATTGGCAACTTTCATGCCACATTAATTGATTGAATTGATTCTTCCATTCCGTGTACATGAATTTCTTCATTGCATATTGATCCAGGTGAACAAAATTGTACAAGGACAGTTCCATTTATTTGAGGAAATGTATAAGCCATTTCTGGAAGAATACGAGGCCAAAAACTTGTTGAGATTTTCAGTAGCTGGTGATAAGCAAGTAAACATATTTCAGGTCTCTCTCTTTTCTAAAGCTTTGTCTCGTGTTGCTTCCTTAACATGGTTAATTGTCCTGAATGATGCTAATAATTCTTTATTATAATCAATGCTTCTAATACGGGAACATATTTATATCGACGATAAAACACGTTTTTCTATTGAAGCATAAAAAAAAAAGTATGGTGTGAATGGGTGATCAAGAATATACAGCATGAGACATGCTAATGGGGCCCTTCTATTGTTGCCTGTTGTGTACATTTTTAGTGGTAATTTTTGACCTTGAATGGTAGCCTCTGTGGTCAGTGAAATTTATCTTTCTATTCTGAACATTTCTCAAATAGCTTTGAAGTCATTTGCTTTCACGACTTGTCAAGTAGAGTTTTGGGCATCACAAGTTCCCTTGCATGAAAATTAGTTAGTACTTTTACATGATTACAATTTGTACACACTCTGTTCATTGAGTCAATCTCGATCTTTGATTGCTTTCTTAAAATTTTCATATTACTTCTGGTAATACATCTATATGAGATTCTTTGACTACACAAGCACATCTTTTCTTTCTGATTGATCCAAGGAGATTGATATTGATTACACCTCTGTTGAGATATGTAAATAGGAAAATCAAGGTCAAGTCAATTGACATCTTTTAGTGTTATCCAAATCAGGATTGTGGATTATCTGCTGCTTCCACCTTGGTTTCTTCTCTTCCTTCATCAATCAGAAGTGAGATGGCCATGAAACTTGGAGAAAAGAGAATTCTGGATGACTCTGGTACGTAAATCAACTGCAAAAAGAGTGAATTTTCTGGAAAGAATCTTAAAATTTCCTGTTCTTTCAGATTTTTTCCCTTGTTAGTAGTTCCTGTTGAATTGTGTCTAACTTCCTCATTAGTGAACATACACTTATATTTTAGTTATTTCACGTCTGTAACTCTTACGCTTAGATCCTGATACCATGTTGGATTGTGTGCTTGTCTCATCTCTAGAGAAAAGTTCTATTTAGTTATATTACTTGTTATGATAAGCTCTTCTAATGTTCCCTCCTCAGCTTAATCAAATCATTTCACCTATGCCATATTTTCTTGTAGGTAGAGTTAGACAACAAATAGTGATTGGTTCAAAAGAACAGGCTGCTGAGTGCATGCAGAGGCTAGTTAGACGAAAGGTTATGTTTTCTAGCACAAGGCAGGCTGTTGCAGGTTTATTGACTGCTGGTGCTGTTCATGGAGTCAGATATGTAGCAAACAAGATGCGCAAGGCTTGGAAATCTTGGGTGTAATTGTTTCCTGTTTTTGGGTGACATCACGTCTTTTAACTGGTTCAGACATGGGGATATAGCCACAACCACAGTTACACCTAATGACATGCGGTTCAACCATGGAGTTCTTAGCATGGATAGAGTTTGCCGACTCTCCTGCTGCTTTTTCAAAATAAGACAAATAGAATTTGAGGGGGGAAATAACCAACAACCCATCAAAAAATTTCTTCTGAAAGTTTTCTGTTCACTTGTATTCTTTTCTTTTATTTATTTCAAAGGTGGGAAGAGTTCTTCAGGGAAGGTCGAGCTGTTGTATGTTTAGAACATCCTGGTGAAAAGAAGTTAATCAATGTTTCTAAACAAGGAATTGCTATTGTTACTCTGTGTGTGTACTTATTTTTCCTCTTTCCAGAGGACAAGTAAATGTGTTCTAAGGTTCATGAATTGATCATCATGCTTCATTAGGTATGTTTACATCTCCAATTTATTCATTCAAGTATAATTCCCTTCTATTTATCTCTTATGTATTTTTTCTCCCAACTCTAATTTTCCAGTTGAACTTCAAACAAGTTGAGCAGAAGTGAAATTGTTCAAATTTTATCTCTGCCCCCAAAGGGTGAAATTGAACACAAGACGCCAAGTTTCTAAAGGAAGTAAATCTCCTTACTTTTGGAGTTAACAACCGGTGGGCTTTATAGCATAATAATAAGAAAGCTACCCATCAAAATCTTCAATTTGTATTTTCCTTGAACTTATTCGATAATTTGGCACATCACCATGTCAATACTAACAATTTCTTCTCAAAGTAGCCTACTGATTTTTATATTTGATTAGTTTTAGGATAAAGGTATGAATGCATCTCATAAGTTCTTGAAGACAACCAAATCTGCAGTCAAAGGATGATTACTACAACAACACTCTATCAGGAGTAAGTGGATATGATTCCAATGATGTTGCAGAAATCCTTCAGTACTACAGGTGACTGGTGATATAGGCCAAAATGTCCAGCCTGTTGCTCTTACTAGTTCCAGATTAATTAATTAACAGACTGTCCTATTCTCTTTCGACATAAGACACACCGTCAATCCAAGGGAAGTAGAATAGATTGTTGATGTTGATATTTCCAATAAAGATGCAATTAATAATACGCAACTACTGTGGTATCTATCCATAAATCACATACCCAATTCTCCATTGGTTCCTTCAATGTGTGTGTCTTGACTATATGCATAAAACAGAAAAGGACTTGCTTGGAAAAAAAACATTTGGCTCATTGGCAACCTTATCAATAACAATAATTGAAGATATGGGAGTCTACCCATAAAAAAGAAAAAAGAAAAAAAGAACCTATAAACAGCAGTACCATCCCAATGACCTAGTAATTACTACTAGCCTTCTGTAACAGTAGAGCATGACAGTAATAGACTCTACTGATGAAATGGGAGATGAGATACAGCCAAGAAGTTATTGGAGATGGAGCAAACACGATTTCTTCCCGGGAGATTCTTTCCAGAATTGGAGCGCATACCGATCAGCACTGTCACAAACATTTACCAGATTGAAGGACCGAGTTGCAAACCGTTCTGACGATGCTGAGGAGATTGTGGAGCTAAGGAAAGAAAGTGAGAATGAGATGAAACGTTGCCTTAGTTGGTGGGACCTTACCTGGTTTGGCTTTGGCTCTGTTATTGGAGCAGGCATCTTCGTACTCACTGGCCAAGAAGCTCATGAACATGCCGGACCAGCTATAGTTTTATCCTATGTGGCTTCTGGCATTTCAGCAATGCTCTCTGTTTTCTGCTACACAGAATTCGCAGTAGAAATTCCCGTAGCAGGAGGGTCATTTGCATACATCAGAGTCGAACTGGGAGACTTTGCAGCCTTTATCACAGCAGGGAACATAATTCTTGGATCCATTGCTGGTAGTGCCGCAGTAGCAAGAGCCTGGACTTCTTACTTTACAACGCTCTTGAATCGTCATCCAAACTCTTTGCGTATACATACAAATCTCATAGACGGGTTCAACTTACTAGATCCAATAGCTGTTGCAATTTTAGCAATTACATCAATAATTGCAATAAGCAGCACTAGAAGAACTTCATACTTTAACTGGATAGCATCAGCAGTAAATATGGTGGTGATTTCATTTGTCATAATTGCTGGACTTGCTCATGCCAATACCTCCAATTTGACACCCTTTGTGCCACATGGTCCCAAAGGTATCTTCGTTGCAGCGGCAATAGTGTATTTTGCATATGGGGGTTTTGACAATATTGCAACCATGGCAGAGGAAACAAAAAATCCATCGAAAGATATACCACTAGGGCTGCTAGGATCAATGTCAATTATCACCGTGATATATTGCTTGATGGCACTTTCACTAAGTATGATGCAAAAGTATACAGATATAGATCCTAACGCCGCCTACTCTGTTGCATTTCAAAGAGTGGGGATGAAATGGGCAAAATACCTGGTTGCCCTTGGAGCTCTGAAAGGAATGACCACTGTCCTTTTGGCAGGAGCAATTGGACAGGCACGCTATGCTACTCATATTGCACGAGTTCATATGATTCCACCATGGTTTTCACTTGTTCACCCAAAGACAGGAACTCCCATAAATGCAACTCTCTTGATCAGAGTTGCAAGTGCATGTATAGCATTCTTTTCAAGTTTGGATGTCTTGGCAAGTTTGTTATCTATAAGCGGCCTTCTAATATCCATGATGATGGCTGTTGCTCTGCTTGTGAGGAGATACTATGTCAGAGGTATCACCCCCCAGACGAATCTTTTGAAGCTTACCTTCTTTCTACTGGTCATAATTGTATCCTCTGTTGGGACTTCTGCTTATTGGGGACTGGACCCTAATGGTTGGCTTGGTTACACAGTAACTGTTCCCCTTTGGTTCCTGGCCACTTTGGCAATTTCGGTTCTTTTGCCACAGGATAGAACACCAAAAGTTTGGGGAGTCCCACTGGTTCCTTGGTTCCCATCCCTCTCAGTTGCAATAAATGTGTTTCTCATGGGATCATTAGGAGCTCAGGCATTTATAAGGTTTGGCATATGTACGATTGTAATGCTGATATATTATATATTTTTTGGCCTCCATGCAACTTATGACATGGCTCATCAACCAAAGAAGCCAATGACTTCAAGGATCTTAGAAGAAGATATGGGAAGTGCTAGGGCATAAGTTTTTACACCTATAATAAAATCTGGGACTTGAGTTCCATCACGCTTAATCCTGCAATCATAAGATCTATGTTAGATGAAGTTATCACTGATCAGACAGTATCCTATCATTATGAATAATGAAAACTGTCTACCACAGTACATTCTCGAACATTTCAATGATAGTCAAGTGATTATTGATCCTTTTATTCATTTTAACTTACAAACCAAGAGATATATTATCAAATGCTTATACTACTTCAATTTGGAAAATATTAAGACATAAAATACTTCCCAGTTTATTAGAAAAAAAGAGTTTTATGGTTATCTAAATAAAAATTAATGATAGGTTACTTAGATCAAACGAGTTTAGAGACAAAAAGAAGAAATTACTTCCCACTTTTATAATATTTAAAAGGATTTTAAAAGAAAAGACACAAGAGAAACGCTCTTTAAAAACAATATTTTTATTAGGTCCAAAAACGCCCCTGTTACTAATAGTTTGGCCAAAAGAATGCTAACAATAGCAGCATGTTTGGACCAAACTATTAACGGAGGACATCTTTGTTCAATTTTGCATAGTCTAAGGGCTTTTGTTACCCTTTTCAGAAAACACAAAAAGGAGAGATGCTACAGGAGATAAAGTAAGAAAGTAAACTTCAGCACATAGGAAAAACATTCTAAAGCAAGAGCAACGGTAGGTTTAGATATTGCAAACTCACTTCAATGATCAGTAGAATTTATACCCTTTTCATATTTTCTTGAAATATTCTTTTTTTTTTTTCTGACAAAGGTAACAGTTTCTTAGAAAGCGTCTATACCAATTCAGGCCACATATCTGAAATAAGTTAGATCCACATTGTTCCAATAAAAATTTTGTCAACTCTACTTCATTTCCAGTCAAAAAAGACCATATTTGATGGATAAATAAACCCAGAAAATGTTAAGCATAATAATTCAATAACTCCAAAAGAAGAAACATCTGAATTCTGAAAACTTTCAAATGAATATTACCAGATTAAACAGTAATATCATTCACTGCAACCACTGAAATTGTTTTCTACTGCTTTTCATGCTTCAACCTCCTGCACATCATGAAAGCATCATCTAATGACCCTTGGACTTCTCACTGCCATTTTCTACTTGGTTGCAATCTTCCCATATGCAACCACCACACTCACAATATTTCTTTCACTCACCATTCTGATCCCAAGTTAGTTGCAAGCAATAATAATTCCATAATAGCTCTACCACAAGAAAATTATTTTAACATATGCAAGATGCACCGTCAGAGCATTTTGTTCCTTTACCAATAGAAAACGGCAGATATTAGTATGAACATTCAGCTAATAACACAGTATATAGTAAGGGAAATTCACTTCACATGAGTGTAGAAAGCACCTTTAGTTGAGAAGTCGGAAGGTTGAGAGAGCAAGGTTAGAGAAAAACGCACAGAAGAGAGATTTGCAGCCTGGTAGTACTGTGTTATGAATTCAACAAGATCAATACCTAGTAGCTTCAGCTCAGTGATAGTCATTCCATAACAACTATCCATGTTTTGTGATTCCTATCCAGTTGTCTTTTTCCCTAAGAAAAATGTTCCGTTGATGTATAGGAATAAAGCATAAGTCGTACTAAACATAGACAATCTAATTGCTCTTTTGTAGCACACATCTGGAGTAACTTAGAGCATAATTAAAAGCTGGTTTTGACATTGAGACTGCTCGTCTCTCTTGCACTTCAATTTAAGAACTTGTCCATGATTAGCACCAATCGGCAATCACTCTATAGTCTACACAAAAGGTGTGCTTTCAGATAATGCCGAGGAATTTTTTTATTGGTAGAAAGCACAACCGTGTCCATTTTTTAATATCTTAAAGTAGTGCATTTCTGCTACATTATCAGTTACATACAAAATATATACAGCTTATTTAAATCCAAAACATTTATTTCCCAAGAAATAAAATACATTAACTTGTGATGCTAACATCTATCCAGAAAGATTCAAAGATTTGGCATGGCATTTACACTGGACTTTGATCACTCCTTCTATTCACTCTCTCTCTTACCACTGGGAATATTATATACAGAAAAAATAAGCAGACAAAATTTTGAACTTGCTTTCATAAGCCACAAACAATAACTTTGTCAGCATTTTCAACTCCCATAATTTAACATTCCGGACACGTCTTGATACAAATTAAAACAAAGAGGAAGCAAAAGGTAAATAAGAAATGTAAGCAACTTTAAGAGAATTTTTATTTTTATTTTTGGTAGAAAACTATAAGAGAATTACTTAAATTAAACTCTATTTAGACTCTCTAAAACCGTTTCAAAATGATCGTGCCCGGCTAGAGCTATTGAAGTATCATCAATATTCGAAACTGGCGCGTTACAAATTTGTAGATTACAACTTTTAGATTTCAAATCTAACAGATTGATAGAAAGTGAAGAAGAAAATATTCAATGACATGGAAGCTTTCTTTTAATATCCTTTTGATGAAGTTAGTAGTTTCATTAATGGCATCAAGAAGATGCAAGAGAGTACAATATGTAAGATTACGAAATACAGGATGTTAGCTCCATTACATAATAGGCTATGCAAAGACCAGGGACCCAAAGTTCAAAAAATTGACATGGGAATCTACAGGGGATACATCTTGCCCTTTAATATCCTAATGACTTAACAATGCTACATTATCATAATTGAGAGGTTTCTGTATCCATTCAAAAAGTTCATATAAATAATCGGTAAAATATGTCATTATCTGTTAGATACATGTGCAACTGACATGCATTCAAACAAACAGAAAATCAGAACGTTAAATCATGGATGCAAGTGTCTGTTCGGTAATAGCAGTCATCCTATCATTGTATAATTGTTTGATGTATCAAGCACAAGGATCCAAATTCTGAAATGTACAAAATGGATCTTCTGAAAGAATCTCACGTCCATGTCCTCTTTAGTCCCTTGGGAGCAATATGCCCACGGGAAACAAAGGTTCAGGATATTGCATTTTTGCAACCCAAAAAAAAAAACTAACCTCTAATATCAGATGAAAAGGTCACTCCAACATTTGTTAATAGCTCCTTGAACCTTCTTTGGTTTGCAAAGTTCTCGAATAATCATTTCCCAAGTGGATGACTTGGGAGAAAGAATTTTTTGAAGCATCACTTCTATAATTCTTGAAGCTCCTATGATTCTCTGCCGCCTGTACAGTTGTAGCACCAGCTTATCCAGAAAGTCTTCCCCATCTTGGGATGGATTTGCTTTTTCATTTAAGGTTTTCAAGAAAATATTACATGTAATTTTGTCAGGATCACAACCTCGATCCAACATGGTATTCAAAAGATCAATTGCTAGAGAAATTCTGTCCACCTTGCATAAAGCATTAATAATTATGTTATATGCTACTACGTCAGGCTGAGAATCAGATCCTCTACATAGCATCTCATTGAAGAGTCTCAATCCCTGGTCCACAGAACCAGCATTGCAAAGGCCGTGAATCATTGAACTATAAGCCACGGCATCAGGGACCAATCCTTTGCCTAACATATGCTTCCACACCATCATAGCCTCTTTGAGCTTCCCATCTTGACACAGTCCATGGATAAGTACACTGTAGCAGATTTCATTGCATGTGATACCACTGGTTGCCATGTCTTTCCACAAAAGTATAGCCTTGTTGCTGTCACTGGTTTTAAAATAACCTTTCATCAAGGAGCAGTAAGTATAAGCATTGGGAGTGCAACCCATTTTATTCATCTCTGAAAGAATCTCCTTAGCTTCATCAGGTTTGCCTTCTCGACACAAGCCATCTATAAAAGCAGAATAAGCAACTATATTAGGTTTTACTCCCTTTTCTATCATTTCCTTCCATATTTTTAAGGCCTCTTCAGGTTTTCCTTCCTTGAACAACCCACTAACTAGTGCTGAGTAGACATATTCATTTGCCAGATGCCCTTTCTCTTGCATTGCCAACAAGATCTGCACACCATCTGTGGCTCTTCTTTGCTTAACAAACCCATTGATAATCGTTCCATAGGTTATATCAGTTGGTATATACTTATTTGACACCATTCTATCCAATAAACTAACTGCTTTCTCCAATTTACCTTTCAGGCACAAACCGTGTATAAGTGTGTTATAAGTCACATCATTTGGAACACACCCTTTAAGAAACATGTTATCCACAAGCTTTGCAGCTCGAGCCAAGTCACCTTTCCGACAAAGCCCATTAATCAACACATTAAATGTTACTGGAACAGGAAGACATCCCTCTACCTGCATTTCATCCAAAAGAATAACTGCTTCATCAATCCGGTCATCCTTGCATAACCCATCCATCAAAGTGCAGTATGTATAAACATCCGGCTCACATTTCCAAGTAGGCATTTCTCTAAACACCTCCATAGCTCTATCGACCATCCGAAGCTTACACATGGTTTTAATAACTAAATTAAAAGAAAGCACATTTGGCATAATATTCCTATTATTTACAACATCAGCATAAAAATCTAAAGCACGGTGATATAATCCTGTCTGAACTATCACATTAAGAACAGAATTAAATGACTTCACAGTTCGTTTACATTGAAACTCATCCACCATTCTTTCAAACAACTCAACAGCTTTTTCAGGCAAACGGGCTTTTCCATAAGCTCTAAACACTAAGATAAAACTCTTCTCAATAAAGACTCTTTTTTCACACTTCATTCTACCAAAAACCTTCTCCAAAGACGTAAAGTCCTCGGAATTAGCATACTTCTCAATAAGAGAATAGAATGTAGAATCACCCAATTTGAAAGAACCCAACTTTGGAGCCTCTTTAAATAGCTTGTCTGAAATTGGTACTTCCACTTCAGTTTCACAAGAACCCAAGTTGGGTTTTAGGGTAACTTTAAATGATTTATCAGAAAGGGGTTCTTCTACTTCAGTTACACAAGAATTAAACTTAGGTATTGGGGCAATCTTCATTGAGTTATCAGATATGGGTATTTCCATTTCAGTTCCACAAGAACTCAATTTGGGTAGTCCCATTTCAGTTTTCAAAGTAGAAATTGAATAGTCTATTTCAGGTTCTTGGTCAGTATGAGAAGGGTTAGATAGAGCTGAGAATACACGGTTAATGGTGAAGTTAGAGAAAGACTTACATGGGATTAGCTTTGAAGTGAACTGTTTGGTACGGAAGGAGTAAAAGAGCATGCCTTTTCAACTCAGATTCTCATGAAGAAAAACAAAAACTTCTGATAATGATCATCTATGCAGGGTTTAAACCTTAAATATAAGAATCTTTTAGGCTCAACAAAATGAAGGAGGTCTCTGAGAGACGCTGATGAGGAAGATGAAAACAGCGAGGAGGGTAGCGGGAGTAGGGCAGAAAAACGGAAGCGGAAGGGGTGGGGCTCTCTTTTTCTCGACTTAGATAGTTAATTTCATATTCTTTCAAAAATCACGTATTATCATATATGAAATTATTATTGGAGTTTTTCTAAACACAAAAATTGATTAACGAGTTTATATTTTGTTAAAATAATCTCAAAGCATTATGGAGCTTGGAAATATAAATTCAAAAATACTGAAACAAGGCATGAACTATTATTATATTGACTAATTATTTGTGAGAAATAGTGATGAAATATTTATGCTTTATGAGCATGAAACATAGTTACATATGATATTGACTAACAAATGATTCAAAGTAACAATGTTGGTTCGTGTTCCCGATCACATGATCGAGAAATGCAAGTTCAACGTGAGGAGATTTTATCTGTATTATGTGAGAGGATTGTATTAAAAATTAGTTTACTGTTCAATTTTTATAACTATTGAATTAAAGTTTAATTTAACAATTATTTAAGTAGGAAACAAATAAATATGTAATAATTTATTATTCGATTATATAATTTTTTGTCTATTTGATAAAATTGAATAAATAATTTGGATTATTTTAATTATTTTACAACTTATGAGATTCTTAAGTTTATAAGAAAATATACAACACTAAAAAATTCATATCGTATGTCGAAACAAAACTTTCATTTTATCTCATGATTTTATATTATGATATAATATATGATTTCGTTTCGCATAGTTAAACGGACTGTTAGTATTTTATAGGGCAAAGGGTCAAAAATACCCTCCAACTTTAATTTATTGTTTAAATTTATCCTCGCTGTTAAAATGGACTGCTCCCGTAACTAATTTCACCAAATTTACCCCCACCAATTTTTTTTTAGAAAAAACCCTATTCCTTATTTTAACACAATAACCCAATCCATTTAAAATAACCCGTCCCCACTCTCCAGATCTCCTTTACCCATTTAACAAACATGGTGCTCATCTTTAAGCTAATCAGCTAAAAATTTGAATTTAAATTCTCAAGATAAATTTTGAAGTTGTCACGTTTAATCTTATGTATATTAAAACTCTATATAAAGCATATGCAACAACAAGTTTGTCCCAAGCTGCACGAGCAGTTGCGGCTCCAACCAATTGAGTCAGGATGCTTTCTGAAACAGAAGCAACAATCCAACTTAGAACAAGTTGGTCTTTACGTGACCAGATTGTATATGCCGGATCGGGTTTGGTATTGGTATCGTTCAAAAATTGTGGTGGCGTTTGAGTAGTACCATCAATATGATGATTCAAGCCACACGTATATATCATAGACATAAACTGTGTCTTCCACAATAAAAAGTTCGAAGATGTAAGTTTTACAGGTAATTGATGTTGATGTTTGGAGATGGTGAAACAGTAGACATCATGGAAGGGCTGCTAGATTCACCCATGAAAATTGGGTTGATTTAACCTCTTATGCCTCTGATACAATGTTAAAGAAGATTGACCCTTATCTATGCAACAGAAATGATATCAACTTTTGCAGGATAAGTAAAACAATCGATAATATTACTTTGTTCACTTTTATTTGTATTATATTTTAAAAATATAATCATAATTTCAATTTATGTGAATAGTATTCTAAGATATTCATACTAAACATCATTATTTTTAAGTATCTTGCGAAATTCCAAATGGAAAATAAAAGTGAATGGAGGTACTATTTCATGTGCATCGATCGACACTACATTAAACATAATTTTTAGCGGCAATTAAGATTGCAGCTAAATATGTATTATTAGCGGCAATTAACACTCTTCGTATATGCTCTAAAGCCTTTAGCGATATTAGTTTTGATTGACACTTAACTTATCCGATAAGACTACAACACTCTTTATTAATGTCAATATTTATGGCCACTAAAAGTTATTTTTGTTGTGGTGCGGTTTGATTTGGTTTTATGTACTACTGATTTGATTTATCGATTTTTAAGTATTTTAATCAAATACAAACCAACACGATATTCTTTATCGATTTTTGATTTACTCAATAAAAAGGTACTCATAAAATAAATATATGACTTGTCACTTCTTCAATTATTTGGCGCAGTATAGTAAAACAAATAAATCAACTATAAATATTTTAATATATTAAATAAGAAATATAATAAAATTTTTTATCAATGAGAGTAAATGAAGTACGAATAATACAATTATACGTTACAATCAAAACATTACATGAAATATCAAATGTGAAGTATGAACCGTGAAATTTGTAGCATAGAAGAGTATGTGATATAGTGTCTATTTATAATATATTATTAATATTTAATATTACGAAGGATAAAGTAATAAAATATTATCATACATCTTATGAATAATATTCAATACTGAAAAATTGATAACTTAATAAATTTTCTTTTATAAAATCATTAAAAATCTATGAACCCAATAAACATGTTTTTCAATATTCAATTCAATTTCCCACTAATTTAACTCTACTTATTACAAGTCAATTTAGCATTAATAAGTATTTTCCTATCCATGTTAGTAGATTACTTCTCTTAATAGAAAAAAATATAATTAATAGTTTCTTAATTCAGTGAATCCCATTTTCTTCATCATCAGAGACTTGTAACCGACCAAATTGTTTGTTAAGTCTTAGACAGTAGTATCACACAGAAAAATCAATAATTCATGGCATCTTCAAATGGGAGTGATTCTTTAGAATCATATAGTAATTTTGGGCGGCACTCAAATGCAGATTCAGATGAAGATGAGTTAATGTGGGCAGCTTTAGAGAAGTTGCCATCGGAGAAGCGTACAAACTTCGCCTTGTTAAAACGCACGGATACTATCGATGTCACAAAGCTTGATCGTCTCACTCGGCAAATTCTTGTCAACAATGCACTTGCTACTTCTGAACAAGATAATTACAAGCTCCTTTACTCCATCAAACAACGCTTCAATAGGTAGTATACACTATTTTTAATGTGATATATATGTATAGGTTTATCGTTAATGCTAATCAGAGAATTTTGTCTAGGGTGGGATTGGAGATACCTAAAGTTGAAGTGCGATATGAAAACTTAACTATATCAACAAATGTGAAAGTAGGTTCAAGAGCATTGCCTACGTTATTAAATTATGGTTATGATGTAATCGAGGTGCGTAATGCTAAGTTTAATTTGATTACTGTTGCCACCTTTTATGATTTGTGATTGTTTGATCCTGATTCCTCTGTGTAAATTTCATAAAAATACAGAGTATATTAGCTGGATTAAGGATATTCAAACCAAGGAGACATCCCCTTACAATACTGAAAAATGTTACTGGCATTGTAAAACCTGGAAGGTAATATTTTTGTTCTTATGTTACGTTGCGTAGTTATTCATACTATACAACCAGCACTAAGATTGGTACATACTACCTTTATATATATATATATATATGTGATGGTTTACCTGACCACGGACCACGTTCATGTGTCGGGTTCAAAAAGGAATTTGCAAACTGTTGAATGTATTCGACAGGTCTTTGCAGCTTGTTGCAGACATTGGTTTATTAAGAATATTTAAGTAAAGCATCAATGTATGCCGAATTGCTCCATATATAGTTTGCCGAACCACATTATATAAACGAACCAGAGCTACTTCGAAATGATCTTGTCTTCTTCTTTTCCTTTTTTGTTGTTGTGAATTTACATTGTTTAGTTGCCAGTAATTTTAAGTTATTGTTGATTGTAACAAAACAAATGGATCCTATTAATATTTGTTTACATTGCTATCAATATCAATAGGATGACTCTGCTTCTAGGACCTCCAGGTTCTGGTAAATCCACATTGCTTTTAGCTCTTTCTGGAAAGCTTGACAATGAACTGAAGGTTAGTATGCTGGTGCATTAATTAATCGTTCGTAATATCATCCAATAGTATTAATTTAATTGTTCCTTAACTGAAGTTGAGTTGTATAAAAGCACATACACTCATATATGTATTATACATTAATTGAAGACCAGTACTTTAAATGAAGTGATCATTTAGTAGATAAGGTTTATCTCAATATGCCCTGCATCTCGAGTAAATATTAACGAAACGCTGCATTTGGGCTGAAGGGACTGGAGATTTGGTAGGCGTTTGGACACGAAGTGAGTATATTTTAAAAAAGAGAGTAGCATTTGGAATTAAGTTGAAAAGGGTATTTATAGTGTTTGGACATGCATTTCACTTGAAAAAGTATTTAAGACAAACTTTTTTTGCTCGAAAAAACAGGTTCAGACCAGTTTTGAACCAACTTTTCCGAACTTTAAATATCTATTTTCATGTTTGGAGCGAAAAATTTAGAAAAATAACTTGACTTTATTTGGTTTCAGCGAACTGGCCATATTACGTATAATGGACATAAAGAGGATGAGTTTTGTGTGCAAAGGACTTGTGCTTACATAAGTCAAATAGACAATCATATTGCAGAGCTAACTGTAAGAGAAACTTTAGATTTCGCAGCGAGATGCCAAGGTGCAAGTCATGGTTTTGGAGGTAAATTTGTCTTAACTTCTCTTATACTCCTTAATGGATCTCTATTTTTAAATAAAATGATTTTTTCTACAAAATTTTCTCAAGTATACTTATCAATGTGCACAGCCGTTTATCATCTACTTGTTTTCAAAGCCTTTTCTATGCCATACACATGATGTTAGCTGGTTGAACCATGTAATGACCTCATACTCTGCATGTAATTCTTTACTTCAATTATTGTAACCGTGTGCTCTCTGCTACTAATACAGTTAACATAATGGACTTTGGCAATTCTCGATACGCATCAATTCCAAACTACATCTGAACTTAACCAATATAATATTAGCTCAAGCTCTCTGAAACTATGCTTCCCTATGTACAAACCTTCTTCTAAGCTACTTTGGTGTGCTGCATAATTCTATATCCTCTGTATGCCTTTACTTAACATTTAGTCTATGGTGGTTGTCTTTGCTTATTGCAAGGATTTTTCCACGAATAAGCTTTTTTTCTGGCACTTATTAAGTAATCTATGCAACATACTTGTACATCTCCACTGACTCAGTTCTCGCTTCCATTCTATTTTCGCATCTGACAAATGAACAAATGGTGGCGACTTGATCAATTTGGTACTGTCGAATGCAATTCATGCCAGATCCTGAAGAAATCATTAAAATTGAAAACCAACTCGTTGCAACCAAAACTAACTTAAAATTGACACCGAATTAAGTTTAAATTGATTAGAAAAAGTCTTCATCTTTTTCTTAAAAAGAATGATACCTATACATATCCCTGAAGATCGCAAGTGCAAATTGTTTGTTGCCTCTTATTTAAACCAGTCCAGGTTTATCAGATATAGCTTGTTTTCTTTCCTGATCTTGGCCTGTTATATATATATTTCTTCTGCAGATTATATGAAAGACCTTGGTCATTTAGAGAAGGAAAGAAAGATACGCCCAAAGTTTGAGATAGATGCATATATGAAGGTTTGGTTATGATCATCCTTTTAACTTTTTAATGCACTCAAAAATGACAAATCATGACCTTTTTTTTTGGTTGTTTTCATGTTGACTTATGATGAAATAAATAAAACCATTCAGGCATCTTCTGTTGGTGGTACAAAGCACAATGTGTCTACAGAATATGTCTTGAAAGTTCTTGGTCTTGATATATGTTCAGATACAATAGTTGGTAATGACATGGTGAGAGGAATTTCAGGTGGACAAAGGAAGAGAGTTACTACAGGTCTCTCTCACTCTCTTTATATATATTTTGTATGTGTATGCATGTATCTCTCTCTCTCTCACACACACACACACCAAAACAACCCAGAAACAATCACAAAAACACACTCTAAAATGCTTGAGTAGCATTTGATCGCCTTAATCGAATTAATAGTTTGGGGATTTTCCTTAAAATATCTTCTTTTTGGATTGTGGCAAGTGACATGCTTTGTGGAATTTAAGTACTAGATTTGCATCCTAATAATTTCCATCTGCAGGAGAAATGATTGTTGGACCTAGGAAAACACTTTTTATGGATGAAATTTCTACTGGACTTGACAGTTCTACAACTTTCCAAATTGTCAAGTGCATAAGAAATTTTGTTAATTTAATGGAAGGAACTGTGATGATGGCTCTTCTTCAACCCGCACCAGAGACTTTTGAGTTATTTGATGATCTGGTGTTACTATCTGATGGATATGTTGTGTACCATGGACCTCGAGCAGATGTTGTTCCATTTTTTGAGTCATTAGGATTTCAATTGCCATCTCGTAAGGGTGTTGCTGATTTTCTTCAAGAGGTACTTTTATTATGGTGCTACATATCGCAGAACTGGACTTGGTACTTAATTAATGTCTTTGTAGGTTACCTCCAGAAAAGATCAGGCACAATACTGGGCTGATACTTCCAGACCATATGAGTTCATTCCCGTTGAGGCAATAGCTGAAGCTTTTAGAAATTCCAGATATTGTCAGGATCTAAAGTCATCTCTTTCGGTTCCATATGATAGATCCAAGAGCCATCATTTGGCTTTATCTAAGACAAAGTTTGCTGAATCCAGATTGGAGCTCCTTAAGGGTTGTTTTTCAAGAGAAATGCTTCTAATGAGTAGGAATAGTTTTCTATACATCTTCAGAACATGTCAGGTATTCTAGTGTGTTTGTTTTCTTTATCCCGAACTACTTCACCCAATAATATCTTCTGCCTGTCTCAGTTTACTTGACCTTTTTTACCTTCGATACAAGCTTTCCCGTCTCCTATAACTCATGTGTGTGGAACCTCTCTCATTTATACAGGTTGCATTTATGGGATTTGTAACATGCACACTGTTTCCAAAAACGCGGTTACATCCCACTGATCTGGTGAATGGGAACTTGTATCTTTCTGGCTTATTTATTGGGTTGGTGCATATCATGTTCAACGGAAGATTAGAACTCCCTCTCTTAATACTTCGCCTCCCCGTATTCTATAAGCAAAGAGATAATTTCTTCTATCCTGCATGGGCGTGGTCCTTAAGTAGTTGGATTCTGCAGTTACCTTACTCCATAACTGAAGCTGCTGTGTGGTCTTGTGTTGTGTATTGGACTGTAGGTTTTGCACCTGGTGCTGGGAGGTATATACAGTGTTCTGTTGACATCACACATACATATTTTATTGGTTATATTCTGCTTACACCGCCTTCATCTTTTTCGCAGATTTTTCCGTTACATGCTTTTACTATTTTCTGTACACCAAATGGGGATGGGTCTCTTTCGGTCAATAGCTTCTCTTTCACGAGATATAGTTATCGCAACTACATATGGATCAGCTGCTCTGCTAATCACATTTTCACTGGGTGGTTTTCTCTTGCCAAAAGGTAAGTTTATAGCTCTCTTCATTATTAACAGAATGTCATTTTATTAAAGAGGTTCCATTTTTACAGAAATGATCAAGCCATGGTGGATATGGGCCTTTTGGGTGTCACCATTGTCCTACGGACAGCGAGCTATTTCAGTTAATGAATTTACTGCCACAAGATGGATGGAGGTATGACTTCTCTACCATACAAAACCTGGACAGTTATTTATAGAAAATAAGTAGCTGCCTTTATATATATTTAAACTTACTTTATGTAGAAGACAACAAGTGGAAATGTTACCCTTGGTTACGCTGTTCTGCAATCCCATAGTATACCAACATCTGGTTACTGGTACTGGCTTGGAGTAGGAGTTATATGGCTATATGCCTTGCTTTTCAACATTATTCTGACTGTAGCCCTGGCTTTCCTTAACCGTAAGTTAAAAGTTCCTGTCACAGAGATAAGAGCTTTCATCATATTGATTCCAATATCTACTGGACTCACATTTTTCGGTTTACTCCTGCAGCACTAAAAAAATCACAGGCAATTATCCCAGCTGATTCCAGTGGTGTTAATTCAGTTAGTGATGGTAAACAATTTTCTCTGTTGGATTTTTGGCTTGTGTATCGATGATCTATTTATCATTATCTTTTGCGTAGGACCTGGCCAGAGGGCAAGTACAAAGAAAGGAATAATCTTCCCTTTCCAACCACTAACGATGAGTTTCCATAATGTCAACTACTTTGTTGACATGCCAAAGGTATCCATTAGGGATAATTTCGTTTATTTTTGAATGATGAATCGTATTTCAAGCTGGAAACATGTATTCTTTTCTCAGGAAATGAGCTCAGAAGGAATACCTGATAAAAAGTTGCAGCTACTGTCAAATGTAAGTGGAGTATTCTCACCTGGCGTTCTAACTGCATTGGTTGGTTCAAGTGGAGCGGGAAAAACCACATTGATGGATTGCCTAGCTGGTAGGAAGACTTCTGGACATATAGAGGGCGACATTAGGATATCAGGTTACCCTAAAATACAAGAGACTTTTGCAAGAATTTCAGGATATGTTGAACAGAATGATATACATTCTCCTCAAGTGACAGTTTTTGAATCCCTGTGGTTTTCTTCTTATCTCCGGCTCCCCAAAGAAGTGAATGAAAAACAAAGACAGGTTAGTAGAGCCCATGCCTTTTGGTTTCTTCATTTTTATGTTTGTATTATATAATTTCATAGTATTGTGATTGATCTATTTGGTTATGACTCAGTACCCCTTTGACTTTCTTATACTGCAGGAGTTTGTTGAAGAAGTAATGGAGTTAGTGGAACTTGACTCCCTAAGGTATGCTTTGGTTGGCTTGCCTGGCCGCTCTGGCTTATCAACCGAACAAAGAAAACGTTTGACAATTGCAGTAGAACTTGTGGCAAACCCATCCATAGTTTTTATGGATGAACCTACATCTGGGCTTGATGCACGAGCTGCAGCCATTGTAATGCGAACTGTTCGTAATACAGTAGATACTGGACGAACAGTGGTCTGCACAATTCACCAACCAAGTATTGAAATTTTTGAAGCATTTGACGAGGTAAGATACCATAGTTTTTCTCAAATAGATAAAAAGCGTACGTTGTGCTAATGTGATGCTACAATTTTTAGCTTCTTCTAATGAAACGCGGGGGACAAGTGATATATGGAGGAAAGCTTGGGGAGAAGTCACAAATTATGATAAACTATTTTCAGGTATGACTTGGCTGTCCGCTGGCTCTTTCTTTGTAGTTGTTTCTAATATTTCGAGGTATACAATTTTCATAATGTGTAGAATGTATGCCCTTAAAATTGACCAGAAGCTTCTTCTAATGTATGTTGCTGACTTGAATGTGAATTTTGTTAACTGCAATCTCCATATTGAGATGATTCATCTTCTCAGCACTGGTTTCTGGTCATATTTTGCAGAGTATTCACGGTATACCGCCAATTCCTAGTGGTTATAATCCCGCAACCTGGATGCTTGAGATAAGTACATCAGCTGCTGAAGCGAAACTCGGAGAAGATTTTGCAACAATATATAGAAATTCTGAACAATACAGGTGATCTTAGCGGACTTGTTTCAATTCCTGAAATTCATAATTTTATTTGTCTTCTTTTCTTTTGCATTTTTGACAATCTTGTGTTTATGTCCTATTTTTTCAACATAGGCAAGTTGAAGGCTTAATTGAGCGTCTGAGTGTCCCACCTGAAAACTCAGAACCTATGGGCTTCACTTCCAAATATAGTCAAGGTGCAGTGTCTCAGTTTAAGATCTGCCTGTGGAAGCAAAATCTCGTATACTGGAGAAATCCATCATATAATTTCATGAGGCTGTTCTTCACAACAATGTGTGCATTGCTTCTTGGTTCCTTATTTTGGGATGTTGGTTCAAAAAGGTAGTATCCTTTATGAGATATCCATAGCAAACTACTGGATGGCTGTTCTAGTTTCTCTGGATGAAATTCACTTGTCATTTATCTATTTAATGGCAAGGATACAGATTTATGCCATGCCTCAGGTATATATTTTATAGTAGAAAAAGACAGAAGGAAAGACGGTCTGCTGTTTCTTGATAATAGGGAAAAACTTCTTGAAAATGGTAAGAATGCATAGGGTGATTCCAATAACTTGCTGAAGGGAAGTATTAAACTAGAAATTAATGTGACATTCTCATTGTAACAATTCAATAGTAGAGCACAATATTTTAAGCGCTGAGTACATTAGCGTTGTAGGACATAAGGAGATGGCTTTGTCAAAAGAAGCTAGAAACAAATATTAAGGATATTATAAAAAAATTCTTCTGGTATAACTTTCTGGTCTTATTTTAAGCATTGATAAAAAAACAGCTTATTTTGAAGCTAGCAAACTTCAAAATCTTTATAGTTCAAATCAATCGTTGATTAATGGTGGTTGTAGTTTAACAAGAGGACAGCTAAATGGAATATTAGATTGAACCATATTGGATATTTTTGTAGAAGAATGTACACATTATGCACTAGACAAATCTTCTGCCCACTAAGACATGCATCTTTATAGCTATATTGTCCTAAAGATAGATACATCGCGAAGAAATGTAATTTAGAAGTTCTGCTGGATAGGTTGGTCTGAGGATAAGAAAATAAAGTTAGATTCAGCCAAGAGTAACCTTGAAAAACTTCTGCGAAAAAAAGATAGAGAATAAGCACCTTGAACCAAAATGTTTGGTGGTTTATATTAATAAAATAATTAGAGAATACAACAGAATACAAATTGGATGGCTTGTGAAACTAATGTAATGATTCCTACTGTTTAAGCATGTATCTTTTTTTTTCGCTTAAAAGAAAACAAATTAGTAGAGCTTCAGCTGGCTTCTTCATGTTTCTTCCCTTTATTTCTGCCTTCTAAATTTGGGGTAATGGGCTAATGGCTGTGGATCTTGATGATTGTTTTTGGTTGATATTAAACTCCTCAATGATTGCTCAAAGCCCTACCCGTTAAAATATTATGCTTGAAATGATTTGACAGGGACTCAAGTCAAAACTTGTTTGTGGTAATGGCGGCTCTTTATGCTTCAGTCTTGTTTCTGGGGGGCAATAATGCTACTTCTGTACAGCCAGTTCTTTCGATTGAAAGAACTGTTTTCTATAGGGAAAGAGCTGCAGGAATGTATTCCCCGCTACCATATGCAGTAGCTCAGGTTAGCATATTTACAGACAAACTGACTTTACTTGTAAAAAACTATATTTGTATGAGTTTCTTGATTGTCAAAAGGATCTGATTATATGTATTGATGACTTTTTTTTTTTTTCGGTCTATCAGGGTATTATCGAGATTCCATATGTCATGATACAGACACTAATTTACGGAGTCATTACATATTTCATGATCAACTTTGAAAGGGAAGCAGGTATGATAAATTTCACGGGTCATGGTTCTTTATGATCAATTATATGCTGTCATGCATCTGCTAAATTGCAGAAAATTATTGTGCAACATAAATATCAAAACAATTTTTTTCCTCATGAGGTAGCAGGGTTAGGCTTAAGAACCAATAAGTGATCTACATGAAAATTAGGAACATAAAACAGTATCACAGTCTACTTGATATGGAACTTTGTGGTTATGAGGGAAATACTCTTCTCCGGTACAAATTGACACTGTCTCTAAAATTATTTGAATATATATCGTTGGCCATAAGATTCTCTGCTGGTGTATTTACATCCTTAATTTCAATTCATAATTTTCTGATGTTGTGGGTTTTGAGTACTATTCATAAATTGATTGCACTATCATGACCCTTTTCCATGAATTGCACCTGTAACAGCTGTTGTATTCCTTGCTTTTGGAGTTGGTGGGCTCATTGACTCACTTATGTATTGTTTGGATATCTTGCAGGCAAATTTTTCCTCTACATACTATTCATGTTTCTTACGTTCATGTATTTCACCTTTACTGGTATGATGGTTATTAGTGTTGCACCAACTCAACATTTAGCTGCCATCATTTCATCAGCTCTCTTTTCATTGTGGAACATCATGTCTGGTTTTATAGTCCCAAAACCTGTAAGTATTCTTACTTCCTTCAACACTAGTCAAAATTGCAATTGTCGTGTTTGTTGAACTAGATTGCTTGAGATAACATTTTACAGCGGTAAACCAAAATACGAACAATTTCCATGTGGAACACTATATGTATAGTTATGAAATCTGCAAAAAACTGGAGGTTGGACTCTATTTCTTGATTTCTGCTGCATCTCACTTGTGCCATTTTCCTTGTGTGATTTAGAGTATCCCAGAATGGTGGATATGGTTCTACTACATCAACCCAGTTGCATGGACAGTCCGAGGCATCATTAGCTCTCAACTTGGTGATGTGGAAACAAGGATAACAGGACCTGGATTTGATGGAACAGTAAAAGACTATTTGGAAGTCAGACTTGGATTTGGTCCTGGGATGATTTGGTGGTCTGCTGCTATGCTTACTGGATTTTGCTCTCTCTTTTTTGCCATCTATGCAGCATCAGTCAAACTAATTAACTTCCAAAAAAGATGAAGCACTGTTCTAAAAATATTATCCTTCATTGAATCAAATATACTTCCAATTTCAAAATGTGCTTGTTTGGCAATAGTTTTAGATCCAGATTTGAATATGTTGTCAAGGAAAACAAGTATAGGTGATAATATATATTAGACCTTAATGGTATTGCTGTTTTCCAGTGGTCAATATACTTTCCAAATGCTAAAGAAACTTCATTTCCCTCTTTTTGTCAAATTTAATTTGTTTTTATGTATACCAGATAAGATAGAGCGTAAATGGAATGACATGAATTCACATAGCCGACCTCAACTTCCTTGGATTTGAGGTATACTTGCTGGTAGTCACATTTACATAGTTTTAAGCCAGGCTTGATGCAATTCACAATGATGAAAAGAAATACAGGCGAAACGTTTATGTAGATTTATTTAGCATTGGCCTGGAAGACCATTTTTCCTTACATTAGTATTCTTATCTTTTGGGATCACCTTATTCAGATGCACATTTTACATTACAGTGATAGAACAACTAGAGTTCAAGCTGGAGCCTCAGCACTAGAAGGAACAACCTTATGGACATAAACAGGATCCCCAACCTTGACTATCTTGCCTTTTCCATGGCTAAGAGCGTCGGAACAAACCATGTTCTGTCCAAAATATACCTGCAAAATAACATGAAAGATCCTACTTGTGATTTATGTAGGGATTATTAGGTAATTAGTTATGGAACTTCTCACTTTATTAGATCTTACCTTCCCTTGTTGTTTCTTATTCGGACGCAAGGCCTTATCGGATCGGAATTTCAAGAGAGTTTCTGTTGGCTCAGAGCCTGCTACTGTTGTTTCTTGATTTATGGTAGGTACCTTATATAAAGAACAGAATCAAGGTCAAATATGAAGAGTTTATCTTGATGATGAGCGTTCAAATGCAGGAAGGTTAAGTACAAAAAATTTTAAAAAAATGTTCCATAATCAACTCCATTCTCTTAGTTAAAACTTGAATCAAAGATGCTCATCACAACATCATAAAGGGAGAAACACAACTAGACTCTTTTGATCTTGTCCAACAAGTTGCTAGAATAATAGGTCTGAATTCATGCCTATCCCACGACTATAGAAAAAAACTACGTATGGAGTTGCTACGAATGGACCTCAGATATGTTAAATTTCTCTTCAATATCATGTTGCATGAACATTATACAGAAAGAAAAAATTAGGAGGAAAAAACAGCTTCCAGTTTGCAAAGGTTATTCTCTGTCGTTTAGTAAGAAAGTAAGTTCATGAGGTCTTACCTTACAGCGAGAGCATAGTTTGACACCCTCAAATGTTAACTTATTGATTTGGATCTCCTTCCACAAATCCTCAGCAAATGGTTCACATCCATCAACAAGGACACTGTGAAAGAAGATAATGTCAAAAATTTAACTGAGTTAATCTAAAGTACTAACAGTTTGTACAGAAAAAGGAAAGGAAGTAACCAATCATAAACAAATTATACAAGTAGGACGAGTATACTTGGGTCTAAAACGATTTACTGGAACAGGCTCCTTGAGAAGAGAATTTAACGCATTCATCGATCCCTGCAGAACATGGACCAAGAAAATCTAGCCTAAGCTCTTGTTCTATGGATGTTTAGGCTGAATTTAAATGACGATTTACTTACCTGGGATAGCATGAGGTATGGATATCCATCAGAAAACATAACATTGTATCCTTGAGCATAATTAGGATCTACAACTCTCATTTCCTTAACTACAAGAGTCAACAGGAAGCAACTTATTTCGATCAAATTGTATACGTTTATTCCAGCAGTTTTCTACTAAAGCAAGAACATGAACCTAATAATAGGCGATAGTCGATAAACTACGTATCGGAAGCTGGACAATACGTAGAGAATTTAAGCATAAAAGGTGGAAGAGATATACAGAGCAAATTTAAGACAAGGATATTGTAACATCAGTGATTTCATATGAGTAACATATAGACGAGGAAAATCTAGATAGAACTATGCGATAAGCTATACCTTCACTAAAGCGAACTAGCCGACTTGGTTTCCCCAGATGTGTGGAGAACCACATAGCTGCCTCAGCTCCCTCGTCCAAGGCAGAACCAGACCACTCCCAGACCGAGACACCATCCGACACTACAGATGGGTCACTTAGTGGAATTTTCAGTGGATCCATACCGGGAGCTTTGATAACTACATCCAAAAGGTAATTTGAGATATCAAAAAGATAGGCCAATCTTTGTCATTTTCTTGTGGGCTATCAGTATGACAAGAAGCTTCTATGATTAAGGAGATGCTACAAGGAGTTAAAAAACAATAACAGTATTACAATTCAAACATCAATATCCAAGATCTTAAATTCTTAAGTCACACAGGGAACCAAACACTGATTGTTAGCTTGGCATATCAACATTTTCAGTAGAATGATCTATCTTTTAACATTTATTATCCTCTCTCTTTCTTGTCGACTATATTAGTAGTAATAGATTGCTAGGAGAAAAACATGACCAGTTTTGCTGCAGCACCATTTAGCTAAAAAGAGAAACTGTATCAATAAGATAATCCATAGTAAAAAATATAATCAAACTATGACCTTATTTTCGACTGAAAACTATGACACTACCTAGATAAGAGTCATTATTTGGTTCCCAGCCTTCAGAAAAGGCCTCAATTGGCAATGCCACTTCGACAAGAGCAAGCTTTGGTTCAACTCTTTGAGTATAGGCCCTGCCTTTGGAATTCACCACTAACCATTGTCGATCCCATCGAAATCCTGTTTCATGTAACAAGATACAAATTTTCAAGTGATAATTTTTTTTTGAGACAGATTTTCAAGTGATAATATGAATGAAGAAACAAGTTAAGGAATAAAAAGTAGAAAACTCACCACTAACAATTTGTTAACGAGACTATTATTTGCTCAAAATGCACAAAAGTGAAACTAAACCGTACTACATAAATTTTGTCCCAAGGTACTCCATCCTAGAAGGTGACCACAAAACAAACTTCTAACAAATTTCATATCTAATGGAGTAGTACTTTGTGTTTTTACATTTCGGAAATGAGAACAAATGAGTAGGGAGTTGACTTAAAAAAAAAATAGTTTTAAGTCAAAAATAAAAAATCAATCTGAGACTTTTGGTTTCTAACTTATTTGAAGTTATTTTCAACTTATTTTAACTCATCTTTATATCTTGTCAAACACTTTTAAATTTATTATAAGTTAATTTTAAGTTATTTTTTATATTTATCAAATGTTTCCAAAGAAAAGTACTTACGGCACCGGATATTTCCATTAAGTCGATGCAATTTTTATTATCATGTGATTTAATAAAATAAAATGAAGTATAAATATAAACACATAACATGCATATATTGTGTAAATGTAAATTTCGATGGGGATAACTTTTATCCTGAGTTCAAATCTTGATTTGGTTTTGCATATTGAAAGTCGGAACTGGGAAATCCAACTTTTCCCAAATAAGAAGGAAACAAACAGATAACTATTCTCCAAAAAAGCAATCTATCTTCTCAGATCTTGACACTTTTATACGAACCAAAACATAAAAAGAGGAAAGTTATCAACTTTTATCTTATTTTCCTTTACCCCACTAGCAGAAGACTCCCTTTACACTCCATAACCAGTAAAACAAACCCAAAAATGAAAAATTTCAAGATCTAAAGGTAAAATTGAGCACTACCAGTAGAAGTGATAGGTGCTTGAGAAACAGAAATTCCACGGCATGATTTAATTGGATATACAAAGATTGATTTAACCTGAGCTGCTGCTGGCGCTCCTATTACTTCTGCCATCACTCTATGGGAGTTGAAGATTCGTTCTTCTTTTTTCTAAAAAATTTTTATAATGGGAACCATATTTGGATTGAGAAGCATCAAATCACACACTTGATATAAAAAAAAAATATCTCCCCATACTAATTTATGTTACCCTTTTCAATTTCGAGATTTAAATTAGTCTAGCTTTTAATGATTTTTCATATATTTTTTTATTTATGAAATTTCAATTATCATTATTATAAATATATAAATTTTATTTCAGAAAAAATAAAGATTTCACAAGTAAATTTTCAATTAAATTACTTTTTTATTTTACTTTCAAATAACCAAAAGTATTTCAACTTAAATTATTTAATTATCAAAATACGAAAAATGTCAAATAAATTGAAATAAAGAGAATAACACATTAAGAAAAAACTTTTTTGTAAGCATCACCCATATCATTAATCACTTAAATCATCACATCATTTTTAGACATAAAATACATCAACTAGAAAAGTTCCAATTCAATTTTCAAATTTGTAATATTAATAATTAGAGATCGAAACCAAAATATTTCCAGTTTGATTTATTTTTTTTATGGTTCGATTTGGTTGTCAATGGTTTTGGCAAATAAAACCAAAATGCTTAGGTAATGGAGTGAGATGGTGTTTGACTACTGCATTTGCTCTCTTATATCAATAGCTGACGAGCATATAAACAAGTTACTCTTTCTTTTTTATTTGAAGTGTATGATGTGGTGCATCAATCAAGTTCTTATAAAAAAATAAAAACTTTTATAATAGATTTTTATTTTAAATATTATTTTCCAAATCATATTATAAGAGTCAATACTAAAGACCATTTAATAAAATTAATGTGATAAAATATCTATATTAATAAGTATTTTCTTAATACGTATGTCAAATGAATAGTGACAAGCGATAGACTATATAAAAGAACTGTTCTTGACAAGTTGTCTAGCAGTAGAAATGGAAAAACAAAATTCACCGCAGCAATAACTTGTCTAGTGAATATAATTATTTTGATGGACTGGTCAAATGTGTAACTTGCCCTTCTTATTCCGTAGCTGAAAAAAGAACAAGACGCTGAAAATTGTCCATCAGAAAATATAAAGAGTAGTAGAGTACACAACTACACATCATTTTGGAAACAAATATGGAGTAGTATATATATTAACATGAATTATTGGTTACCATATGATGGTCTCCAACAGTAAAATTGGACAGAATATTCTGAAGCTTTTGGCCATAAATTCCAGGATCTAATGAGTCAATGTCATCCCAATTAGTACCGGAATTAGAACTACAAGAAGAAGAATAATTGTGTCCTCTATTATAGCACCATTTCCCGCGCACCAGCCCATGGGGCTGGCGATCTAGGATATCCCTGTCTAGCTCGTCTAAAGTAGGATCGCCTTCTTTAAATGGCCTAGCAAATATTGCCCATTCGTTCACAAGATTGTCATAGTAGTTTGAAACATTTATTGGCGCGGAACACCTGAGATCCTGGTTTACTATTCTGTTTCTAAATTCTGGGGAATTGCATAGTACAGTGTGGAAGTAGGATTCTAGAGGGGACACTACGTTGGCGTAGTACATAAGTAACTTCCTAGGGAAATTGTCCCAACCTTTGATGCAATGCTCCATAAACCCTCTGCTCAATACCATCCATGGAGAACCTAGAAATTGAAATTAAGCAGAAATGAAATCATTGTTGGAGTTTACACCATACATAAAGTAAATGAATTAAGCCAACCTTGGAATATATCAAAAGTTGTTGGCATTTCTCTAGTCTCTACAGCATAGTAAAGGGGAGTAGCATGTTTCAGATGTAGGCTGGGGTCAACAACAATCCGATTGACGTTGTGTTGCCTGCAGTAACATTGCATTGAAGTTGAGCCGCGTTTAGATGGTGATGGAACAGCTGATAATTCGGGTGTGAAGCCCACGAAAAATTGATCGTTCAGATGTTTTTTTTTTTAACCATTATCTCTTATATTTATACAAAAGAAACGTTGATGGTCATCAATGACACCTTACCTGTTTCGATCAATAGTTCTATTGGTGAAGCCTACGAAATTGAGATCCCTTGGCAAGGAAGTGAGAGCAAATAAGATATCTGCAATCAAAAGCATGGATCATCAATTAGTCACAGAGTTACAGAGTAATTGTAAGGTAAATTGGGTAGTACTGTATCAGCAGACAGTAGTATAGTACTCCTTCCATCCAATTTGTTTGTCTGGTTTTGATTTGGTACTCTTTTTGATCTTGTGATCTTAAACATGTTATATGAAAAATTATAATTAAAGAGTTACCAAAAAGGGGAGAGACGCATTCTTTTGAAACGGAAAGAAAGAAAATTATGACAAACAAATTGAAACAAAGAAGTACTAGCTAGGCTACTAGCGATCACGAAAAATTTACCGTCTTGAGTAAAAAGAGGGTAATCGGAAGAGCTTAAGGTGAAAAACCAGTCCCACAGGGGGCTGATTCGAAGGAGCAAGGCGGAGGCATGAAGCATAGCAGAAAGAGCAGAGGCGCCTGATTCCTCCACAGCATAACTTTTACCAACAACATTCACATTCCCAAATGCTCGAAACACATGTTCAGATTCAACTGAAACAGCTAATTCCATCCTCTCCTCATATCCATCTCCATCGAGAAGGTGCAAAAGGTACTGGTTTCTTGGGTGATACACCGCTTTTAATAGCCTCAACATTCTTTTACTTTCCCCTCTAAAACCGAAAATCCAATAAGCCAGGATTGGTGTATCACTAGACCTTCCTTTAGACGGATGGTTCATCTTTATAGTCGTTGATGTGTCTACGTTTGAGTGATCATCTGGAATATTATTCATCAACGTCCTGTACTGATCATCATCAAATCTGCTACAGAGGAATCCTACCAATAAAAGTAGCAAAGTAGCTGCAACGAAAACTGAGAGCCGTACACGAGTTCTCCAATTCCAGGAACTTAACATCTTAAGCATCATCATGGATATTTGTTGAATATTTGATCTTAACAGTATATACTGAAAGGGTTGCTAATTAGAGCAAGCAAAAGCTGGCTTGTGGGACTTGTTAGGTCATGTGTGACATCTTAATGATTGTTAGTTAATGAATGCTATGTTGATGAAAACTTACGCCACAACTAACACCAAATTTCCATGTTTTTTTCTTAATGACAAGGCAAATGCCGCTTCAAACTAAAACTCTAATAATTATTTTCTTTCAAGTGAAGGAATAGTAAAAGGTCAAAACAATGCAGCTAGATGGGTAAAATTTTTTGTCACTTTTGTTGGAACTTTATATGCAACCATTCATCATCAGTCATGTGTTAGACAAGTCTTCTCAAGCAAGCGGGGAATTATTAGTTTCATCCACGAACTATTAACAAACCTAAAAAACACCCCTTTACACCACTAATTGAACATAAATAAACCACCAATCTTGTAATATGAATGAACTACACTCTTAAATTTTCGTTAAAACTTAGGGATGTTTTTCAACTTTTCTCTTGGCATTTTATTAAGAGTATCATACTCCTACAATAGTTTGAGATCACTTGCGTGATGTGACAGATCGTGGTGTATCTATATTAGTTAGTCAAATAAAAGTGTGTTTCAGAAAGTATGTCTAACCTAATTCCATGAGGCTCCCAAGTATCTGAATTATTTTTTTTGTATATAGATTAAGTCAATGTGATTATCAATGCTCTTTCATTTGCAATTATATTTCATGTAACAGAGACAGGTTTAAAATTGCCAATATGAAAATTGATTGAAGTGTAAAATTACACATTTAGCTTTGACAGTTAGGTCTATATGATCAACAACTCATACATAGACAAATCAATAACACACATTATAATTAATTAAAAGTTTTATTATAAGGACCAAAGTTAATATTTGCTAATAAGTGAGGGACCAAAAGTGTTATTATCCCAACTTAAAACAACCTCATCTCTATTGTTATCCAAACTGTCTTAACTAACAACAATGTCCGTTTGGACATGTACACTCTCTGCTTCCCCTGTTTCTGTTCCTCTTCAACAACAATCCAATTCATTTACCCAAAATCCACCAAGAAAACTACTTTCAACTTCATCACCCACAAGTACACTCATTTTCAAGAAATTTCAACAAGAACACACCTCAGAAACACCCTCTTCAGCTTCATGGATCGATACTCTTCGGTCTCAAGTACGCTTAAATTGCTTCAAAGAAGCAATCTTTACATATATACAGATGACTTCTGAAGGTGTAAGGCCTGATAATTTTGTTTTCCCTGCAGTTCTGAAAGCTGCTACTGGCCTTCAGGACTTGAATCTTGGAAAACAGATATATGGGGCTGTTGTTAAATTTGGGTATGATACGATATCAGTCACCGTGTCTAATTCTGTTATCCATTTACTTGGGAGGTGTGGTGGGAGTATTGATGATGTTTATAAACTGTTTGATAGAATTACTCAGAGAGATCAAGTTTCTTGGAATTCTTTGATAAATGCTCTTTGTAAATTTGAGAAGTGGGAGTTAGCATTGGAGGCTTTTAGGTTAATGGGGTTTGATGGATTTGAGGCTAGTTCGTTTACGTTGGTGAGCATTGCGCTTGCTTGTAGTAATTTGCCTAGGACTGATGGGTTGAGGCTTGGCAAGCAAGTACATGGGTATAGTTTGAGAATAGATGATAGGAGGACTTATACAAACAATGCTTTGATGTCTATGTATGCAAAACTAGGAAGGGTGGATGATTCAAGAGCTGTTTTTGAGTTGTTTGCTGATAGAGATATTGTTTCGTGGAATACTATTATAAGTTCTTTTTCACAGAATGACCAGTTTCGAGAGGCGTTGGATAGCTTTAGAGTCATGATTCAAGAAGAGATAAAACCTGACGGAGTCACGATTTCAAGTGTTGTTCCTGCTTGTTCTCATCTGACTTTGCTGGATGTAGGGAAGCAAATTCATTGTTACGTCTTGAAGAATGATGATTTGATTGGGAACTCATTTGTTGATAGTTCATTAGTTGACATGTATTGCAATTGTCAACAGGTTGAAAGTGGGCGTCGAGTTTTTGACAGTGCCTTGAAAAGGAGCATTGGGATATGGAATGCTATGCTGGCTGGCTACACACAAAATGGATTCTTTACGGAGGCATTGATGTTATTTATAGAGATGCTGGAATTCTCTGGGTTAAGTCCGAACCCGACCACTGTCGCAAGTGTTTTTCCGGCTTGTGTACATTGTGAAGCATTTACCCTTAAAGAAGTCATCCATGGGTATGTTATTAAATTGGGTTTTGCAGATGAAAAATACGTTCAAAATGCATTGATGGACTTGTATTCTAGGATGGGAAAGATAAATATATCAAAGTATATATTCGACAACATGGAGAGTAAAGATATAGTTTCATGGAATACTATGATAACCGGTTTTGTAGTTTGTGGATACCATGAAGATGCACTTATTATGCTACATGAGATGCAAACAACAAAAAGACACAATGACTCTGAGAATAATGTAGAATTTCGGTTAAAACCCAACTCAATAACCCTCATAACTGTCCTTCCTGGTTGTGCATCGCTGGTTGCTCTAGCAAAGGGTAAAGAGATACATGCTTATGCTATTAGAAATGCATTGGCGATGGATATTGCCGTGGGAAGTGCATTGGTTGATATGTATGCAAAGTGTGGCTGCTTAGATATTGCTAGGAGAGTTTTTAATAGCATGACTACCAAAAATGTGATCACATGGAATGTTCTCATTATGGCTTATGGGATGCATGGGAAGGGAGAGGAAGCCTTACAACTTTTTAGGATGATGGTGCTTGAACGGAAAGTGAAGCCCAATAATGTCACGTTTATTGCAATTTTTGCTGGATGCAGTCACTCAGGCATGGTCGATCAGGGTCGGGAATTGTTCCGAGAAATGAAGAATGCTTATGGTATTGAGCCAACTGCAGATCATTACGCCTGCATCGTTGATTTGCTTGGTCGATCAGGCCATCTAGAAGAAGCATATCAGCTTGTAAACGAGATGCCCTCTAAGTACAACAAAATTGGCGCCTGGAGTAGTTTACTTGGTGCCTGCAGGATACATGGCAACATAGAACTTGGTGAAATTTCAGCAAGGAATCTCTTTGAGTTGGATCCACATGTAGCTAGTCACTACGTTTTACTCTCCAACATTTATTCCTCTGCTGGGATTTGGGAAAAGGCAAACATGGTTCGACGTAACATGAAAAAAGTTGGAGTAAGAAAAGAACCTGGATGCAGTTGGATTGAATTTGGAGATGAAGTTCACAAGTTCGTAGCTGGAGATGCATCACATCCACAAAGTGAACAGCTCTATGGCTATCTCGAGACTTTGTCAGAAAAGATGAAAAAGGAGGGTTATGTACCAGATACTTCCTGTGTTCTTCACAATGTTAACGAAGACGAAAAGGAAAATCTACTCTGTGGACACAGTGAAAAATTAGCTATAGCTTTTGGTATCCTCAATACACCTCCAGGAACCCCCATACGGATTGCAAAGAACCTTAGGGTATGCAATGACTGCCATGAGGCAAGTAAATATATCTCAAATATTGTGAATAGAGAGATCATTGTTAGGGATGTGAGGAGGTTCCATCACTTCAGAAATGGAGCCTGTTCATGTGGGGATTATTGGTGATATATAGTATGTTTTGTAGATTTATACAAAGTTCTGTTTATAGATTCTTTTAATGTTTAAACATAGGTAAATGCACCAACCGCAACTTACATTTGTTGACTATATTATTGAGAAAAACATTTTGGGACTACAATAAATCTCTTACTTCCTCTCATTATTTTGAAGGGTTTTTTTTATTAATATAGTTTTAGGTGATCATATATTATTATAGGTGGGAAGCTCTAAAGTGAAAAGTTGAATTACCATTTTGACCTTGTACTAAATTGAAATTTGATTAATTATTTAACACTTAATTAGTTAATTTAAATAATATTTATCATTTATTATCTATATATTTAATTTAATCTCCATCATATCATATAATAAGCATAATAATAATAATAATATACTAAACGTGGAAGGAATATTAGGCAAAAATTAGATTACATTTTGTCCCTATATCATATAAAAATATTAATCGTCTAATAAATTGTTAACTAAATATTAAATAGTAAATTTTAATTACTATAAGGGAGGATTACACATTAAGCAATATCAAATTTATCAAATTCTTCCGGTTACAATTTATTTATGTTGATGGTTAATTAATATTAAATTGTTAGAAATAATTATTATCAAGAAGACAAAAAGACTTCTAATGATATTGTTCAATGAATTAAAGGTGAAGACTAAAGGTTACAAAATTAATTAGGAAACTAATAGGTCTCTTTTATTTTTTTCCTTTCATCTCCCCTCACCTAAAATTTTCCTATTTAAAGTCACCTAGAAATGAAAATTAACTTATAAATCTCATCTAATCTTCTTACTAAGTATGTTAATATGTCAGTTCTCTCTTATAAATTAAGATTCATTTTCTCATTTTTGGTATATCATCTCTTTCTTCTTTTTAAATTTCCTTTCTGATCATAATCATAGACTGTTGAAGAAAAGTTGTCATCAATCTTTATATAATTGTTAAAGGCAATAACATTATTGTTGTATTCGGATCGAAGACAATATGATTAATTGTAAGGAATGTTTAAAAGAAAATAATATATTTTTTTATCACGTTATATGAATTATAACAAATAATGAATGTTTGTACTATTTTATGTAAAGTGATTATAGCTATGGCCATTTGAAAGTTATTTTCATAATTGTTTTAAATGTTCTTTTATAATGTTTCTCTTCTTATTCATTTTAAGTTAAATATGTTCTCTATTTATATAAAGAAGTTTATGTTTAAATAATTAAATAGATGTTACTTATTTAGACTTTATAAAATTATTGGTGTAGAACATGTACAATACTATATATGTACCATTTACTAATTATTGATTGTAGTACAAAATTTATATTAAATAGTTTAAAATAAACGTACAACGCACTAGTTGATAAATAAGAAGATAGGTAGAAACTCATTATTTTGAAGGATATGAAGTGGAAAGAAACTTCTAGATTCCGAGTCTTGGACTCAACTTTGTTGATAATGAATCATAACCTCTCTGTTTCATATTACTTGGCTCGTCTTGGCCTACACAACCCCTATTAAGGAAGGGAGCAGTAAGTATTCCAATGCTATATTTTCTACCAAGAATAGCATCTTACATAACTTTCAGTAGTTTTTAATATTCATTGTAGTTACAAATCAATTTCTGATTTGATGAATTTCTTTCAATTTAACTTTTGATTGTTTTTTTAAAAAAAAATCATTTCTTTGACTGTTAATATCATCTAAACGAGAACTGATATGTTTGCAGTACTAACTGTTGTTAAGCAAATATTGAAAGCTCTCATTTAGATAATAAAAAAGGATGTATTCAGCAAATTGAAGCGTTTAACTGCCAATGAAAATGCCTTCACTCTCTTTACATCTTAGCAAGGCAGAAAAAAAGGAGAATTAAACAGACCATTTGGATGGCCAAGTTATTGCCTAATGCTATAACAAAGATTGTAAGAAGAGATTACAGAAATGGAATTTCTACTAACAAAATCGTCTTTGCCACTCAAGATATACAACTCTTCATACTTGTAGAGTATCCAAGCCCGTGTGGGGGTAAATAAGCTTCGTATTCCACTATTCCTCCTATAAAATAAAACAGCCTGAGGAGGGCCTTCATCA